GTTCGGGCTCGGTGACGGTGATGCTGCCGCCGACGTGGGCGCCTAGCGGGGGGATGGGTATTGTGAAGAGGGTATTGCCGGCCATGTTGTATCCGAAATTATTTTATTTTATTTTGTTTGGTTTATTGATCTACGGTCAATCTGTGATGGACATCCAGATTGAACAAGTGAACGAAGGAAGATGGTATAAACTGGAGATGATTGAAACCTTGACGGCAGTTGGTGTTTGTGTGTAAGTCACGGCTCGGCTCAACCGCTCAAAGAAACATGGATCCCGTGTTCCAGGTTTACCTCGGCTGCAACCAGGAGCCACTTCCCAACATCGTATCCACATTCGAGGTTCCCACGCTGAAATGAGCCTCACGGAATGTTCGGTTGGTTGACACGGGTTTCTTGGCCTCATCTGGGGTTACAAAAACGCCATGTGACAGCCAAGTCCGAGACCCCCGGTGCATAGCCCCAAAGCCCCAACCCCGGATTATCCACAACTTATAGATGCACAGCTGTAGGGCCCCAAGACCAGAAAGACAGCTACCAGGTACCCAGGGGTGGCAACGATGTACCCTTACAAGCTACACTTAATGATACAACCAGGCAACGCATCACCAGAAACCCCAACGCCTCGAGTGCCAGCTATGACCTGACCATGCCATCCATGTCTCACTCCCCTAACGAAACCTCGGACAACCCCAGTCAGCGCTATCATCCAACTCAATAACACCCCTGCAAGCCTATATAATATCTACCTGAGAACACAACAATGCATCGTTTCCCTGGCTCCGGTTCAGACGGTACCCCCTGAAAGCCCATGGCCCACCTAGACGGCTGAGTACCCGCCCCGACTACCCGTGCTTTGTAGCGTGTTTAGCACCTTGCGGATGAGGTCCCTCATAAGGTAGGGGACGTCCCGGAGCGTGTCGCCGTGCGGGAGCAGATCCCAGCCACGCGCGCCGTACCGGTTGTAGTTGAGCCACGAGCCGAAAATGAGGTAGGATGCCGTCGCGAGGAAGACCCTGGACTTGTTAGTGCTCTTGACTCGGGAAAGGAAGAGGTAGAGAAACTCACAGGATGACCAGCCAGGTAAAGAATCCCCAATGCGCGCTCTCTCCAGCCGGCTCCGGCTCGTCCACGGCCGTATCGCACACATGCTTGGTGTACCACGTCAGGTACAGCGTGTCCATTTCCGCGCCGTCCTCGCCCGTCTCTCGTTTGTAGCCATCCCACACGAGCGCCGCGCCGCTCTTCTTGAGCTGCTTTTCGGGCGTGCTCGGGTCCTCGTTGTTATCCCCCTTATCATCGCCCTTCTCATCCTTCTTGTCCCCCTCCTTATCACCGTCCTTCCCCCCCTCCTCCTCGCGCCGCCCATTCTTCTTCTCGCCCGGCTCGTACACATCCACGCTCTCCCACTCGTTCTCGGTCCCCTCTAAGTCGGGGTTGCACCTGAACTCGACGACGGTGCGCTGTGCCCGCCCCTGGTACGTGGTGTGGCCCTGCAGCGTCAGCTTCAAGCCCTCCTTCTTGCCGCCCTTTTCCGCCTCGCCGTCGCCCGCTTTCCCCGGCAGCCGCTTCGCGTTCCACGTTATCGCCTTGTGCTCGTCGCCGACCACGATGGGGATGACCTGGTCGATGCCCGCGGACTTGTCTTCCTTGTGGTCCCAGCGATGCTTGATCGCGCATACTGTGGGGAGGGTAAGTCAGCTTTGTGGTATACGTCTTTCCCTCCTACTACCAAATCTCACTCCCCTCCACACCCGGCGTCCCCCGGTTCCCGAGCCGCAAAAAGTGAGAGAGAAAAAAAAAGGAAAAAGGAACACGCACCCTGCGTCCCATCAGGACACTTCCCCCCACCATCCACGTCTCTCTTCCTCCGCAGCGGCGCGCACACATCGATCGCATACGTGGTATTGTGATACGTCGGGCTCGTATACTCATGCGTAACGACGACATGGGGCCCCACCAGCGCGCGCAGGTCATACTTGTGCTGGTCCTTCCCGCCCTTTTCTTTCCCTCCCTTCCCCTCACCGTTCCCGTTGTTGTTGTCCCCTGATGGTACGAGGATGCTGTCGCATGCTAGTGGGGCGGGCGCGGCTGCTGCTGCTGCGGGTGCTGGTGTTGATGGGAGGTTTGTGGCTGCGGTTGCGGTTGCGGTGGGGGAGAGGAGGAGGAGGGCGGCGGCGGCGGGCCACCAGGTTGAGGGTGTCTTCATGGTGATGGGCGCGGGGTTTTGGTGTGTTGGGGATCGGGTTGGGAATAAGTGCGAAGGAAGGCTCGCTCTCTCTCGGTTGGGATTATCAAGGGGTTGCTGCTGGCTGCTGTCGCGTGTCGAAGTCGGACCGTACGGGTGCGGTAAAAAGAAAGATGCGAAGGGCGGGAAGAGAAGGGAATGATCTAGTTATTAACGCCGGCGCAAGAGCGAACAAAGAAGTGTCTTGGCCCAGTGTTGAAAAATGGAAAGATGACCGCTCGATGCTCGGGAAGTTCCTCCAGAAGACTTGTTGGAGCGAGCTCTGCCACTGTTTGGCGTGGCTTCGTTCAGGCTTGGCCGATTCCGTCATCAGCTTCTGGGAGTTACCAGGGTCCGTGCACTCCAAGCTGCGGGATCAGGTCCCGCGTATCAGGGGCTGGTCACGTGCGACCCTAAACTCACCCACTCTCCCATACTTCATTTCAAACCTTAACGCCCTTCTCAAGACTGCGGTCTCTACGAAGATGAATTGAGCATTAATGTATGCTGAATCATACAAAGATGAAACACACAACTCCGCATGTTAGAAATAGGTCCGTAATTCGAGATCGCGGAGTAAGAACCCGAAGCAAATCAAAGAAAACGCTGAACCCCATCCCAGACCCAGACACCCAGGGTATATATAGGTGAACGAGGGGAAAGAAGAAAGCAAGACTTCGAATGCCCTTGAACTGCCCAATGAAAAGAGCTGCCAAACCAAAAAACGTCAACCATTCCCGTTCGTTTCATCACCGTAATCCCAAACCCCGTCCTGAACTCCAGGCCCTGGCGCCGCAGGTGCCTAAAAAAGAAAACGAAAAGGGATATCTTTTATGCACCCCAGATACAAAATTCCCCTTTCACTTTCAAAAGTCGTGCCGCCCTTAATCGACGGTAAAGCCTGCTCTGCATCTCACATGCCAAACCCAACCAACCCACCCACTCAACATTCCGACCCACCACGGCGGTGTAAGCAGCGAACCCCAAACCCGAGCCAACCCCCACACGTCGATATAGCCGGAAAGTCCCTACATTCCCCCCATCTGTTGAGCCTGCTGCTGCTGCTGCTGCTGTTGCAGGGCTGCCATGTGCTGTACCTGCGCTTGAGGCGGCGTTGGGACCTGGCCTTGGACCGGCAGGCCCAGCCGACCCTGCTGCATGAGGTTGAACACATGGGTACGCGCTTGCGCGCCGCAGTTGCGTTTGAATTCCGCAAGCTGTTCTTCGGGGATCGGCAAGCCGTTGAACTGGGTCGAGAAACGCGGCAGGTTCTTGGTAATCAAGGCGTTGGTAAGGTTGCGTACCTGCCCCTGCACCAGGGGATGGCTGAAGCCTATGTTTTGAGGTTGGGTTGGTTGCTGACCTTGCGGCTGCGGTTGCTGCGCAAGGTGCTGTTGGTTTTGCTGATGCTGTTGGTGCTGCTGGTGCTGTTGATGCTGCTGAGCGGCGGCGGCGGCTGCGGCTTGTTGCTGCTGCTGCTGTTGTTGAGCGAGCTGGAGCTGTTGCATGGCTGCCATCTGAGCTGGTGTCATGCCGCTCATGGCCATCATGTTTTGGCCCCGGGCCGCCTGCTGAGCAGCCAAGAACTGTCTCTGGGCAACCTGTTGCTGCATCGGCGTCATCTGCCCTAGCTGACCCATCTGTGCCACCTGTTGTTGCATGTTACTGAGCTGCTGCGAATATTGCGCGGCGAGTTGGGCTTGTGTCGGCTGGTTCATCATCTGACCGCCTCTCTGCTGTTGCTGCAGTAGCAGTTGTTGTTGCATCATGCGTTGCTGCTGGGCGAGTTGATGCTGGACGTTTGGTCCACCGTTCATCATGCCGTTTTGCTGCATTTGTGCCATTTGTTGTTGCTGTTGCATCACACGCTGCTGCTGAGCGATCTGGGCCGCCGTGAACCCAACTGGCACTTGCATCATTCCTTGCGGCGTCATCACCATATTATGCCCGAGCTGAGCGCCCGCCATCATGCCCGGAGGCGGGCTGGCTTGCGACATGCGTGGGGTTGGCACACCCTGGGGCCGTGAGATGGGCGTGGCGTGTGCCATATTCGGAGTCGCGCTGGGCATTCTCGGTGTCCCGCCCGCATGACTCTGCTGGCTTCCGCGCGCCGACATGTTGGGTGCCATTGGCGCGGCCATAGGGTGACTCTGAACCACCGAAGGCGGCCTCGCCGGGCTCCCTGCCTGCCCCATGTTCGAGTTGGAGTGCTGCATAGCCACTCCCGCCATGCCCATGGGGGACGACGCCGTCTGTGGCGTGTTCTGTCGGACGATCGGGGATGATGCCTGCGGTTGCGAGACCTGAGGGAATCGCGCTTGGTTTTGAGCCATGTTTACGGGCATGCTCACCGGTAGGGGGCTTTGGTGCACCGAATGTGCGTGGGGCGTACCCATGGCTGAGGCGTTCGCATTCTGTTGCGCTTGTGCCTGGGCTTGTGCTTGAGCTTGTGCCTGAGCTTGTGCCTGAGCTTGTGCCTGGGCGTGCGCTTGCGCTTGCGCCTGGACTTGGGCTTGAGCTTGCACCTGGGCCTGATGGGCTTGTGCTTGCACTTGTGCTTGGTGAGCTTGTGCTTGCGCTTGCGCTTGTGCTTGCGCTTGATGAGCGTGGGCTTGGGCTTGGGCTTGGGCGGCTTGCATCCGCCGTTGCTGGTCCCGTTGCTGATCGCGAAGGGCCTGATCTTTTCGCTGACGCTCCAGGTCGGCCTGCTGGGCAGCGAGCAGGGCAGCCTCCTGTTGTTGTTGTTGCTGCTGCTGCTGTTGTTGTTGCTTTTGGAGCTGCAGCTTCCGCTCGTTCTCGGCCTGCTTAACCTTCTCAAGTTCCTTCTTCTCCGCGTGCTCTCGCTTGATGTCGGCGATGAGTTTAAACCGCTCAAATCTCGGTTCCCAAGTCGAAGCACCGGCCTGGCCGTCCCCGTCCGAACCATTGCCGGCGGCCTGCGCGCCAGCAAGTTTCGAGGATAGCCGCTCGTCCATATTGAGCATGAACCGCTCCTGGCCCGCAGCTTGCGCTTCATCGGCCTCCATTTCAGCCACAGTTCGCTTCCGCGTCTTGGGTTGGGGCGGCTTTTGCGAGTGATCCGGGTGCGCTTGCTTCTGGAGCAGGGCTATTGTCTCTTCGGCATTCTTGGTCGGTTCCAAGTCCAACGGTGCCGTGGTGGCTAGCAAGATCTGGGCTTCCGCCTCGTAGATGTTGCTGGCATCAAGCTGCATCCGTTCCAGCTTTTGTTTCTTAGTTGGCGGCTGCATGCTCGCGGCGGTCGGCGTGGGCGGTACGGCAGCATGAGGCGTTGGCGGAGGGACGGTCCCATCCGCACGGGCATCGGACGCTCCACGGGGGGTAGCTGCTTTGATGGAAAGATCGGTGTGCAGGCTCTGCTGCGTAGGATGGAGCACCGTGGTAAATATCTTGGGTTTCGCGGTGCCCTTGCCCTTCTGCCCGTCTGCGGGTGCGCTGGGCGCCGGCATGTTCTCCTTATCCTTTTCTTCGGCCGTCTTTTCCGCGGCTAGGGCGGGGACACCGGCAGCCGGGAGGTTCTCCTTGGGGTAGGGCACATGGGCCGAAGGAGTGATGTACTGGTTGTAATTGTGGATGGAGAAGGGGGCTGTTTTGCTCGAGGCTGATGTCGGACGGGCAACATCCCGGGCTTGGGCAACAGACTTGTGGTCGTGAACTTGGACGATTAAGCAACCATCGTAGAAAGGCACACCGGCTTGGGTGAGTTGATCAAGCATCTCGTGGGGCACTGTCCGAGACCTCAGGTGTTCCAGGAATATCCTCATGGGTGAGTGGTACGGAAACATGCCCTCTTGCTTGTCAAAACGGAAGTATGTCTGGTGCAGATGGATGATTAGGGATGGCGGATGCCCTGCAAATTTGCTCAAGATGTATTTATCGGTGACCACTATGGAGCTACGTGTTAGCAATCCATGACGTATGTATCTCGTGACAGATGGTAATACGAACCATAGGGTGGAGGTTCGGTCGCGAGAGATGATGCGAGATCCGGGGCGATGCTAGCGGATCTGAGGCCAGCGCTTCTTTGGCCTCGACCCATTCCCTGCCCCGAAGCATCCTTACGTTGCCTATTGAGTGTGCGCGCGGATGTCGGCGTCGTCCCGCTCGCGGTCGGGGGATTGGAGGGCTGGCCAACAGCCGAAGAAGGAGCGCGCTTAGCCGACATGGAAGGTGAAGGAGAAGAACGCGACAGGGCGGCGCCGTTGGTTTGGATGCCTGGTGGGATAGGGCGTTTTATTTTGGTAGAGACGGCGCCCGTCGGCGTGGCGACAACGGTGGGCGCCATTGTTTATGGGCCAGCTGCCGCCGGCGGCAGCGAGGTAGGGGGAAGATTCAGGATGTTCGGGATCGCTCCTAACGCCAGATTGAGGTGTTTGCAGCGTGGTTCGTCGACCTAGCAGGTGCCCGGGCGCCTCCAAAGGCAATACCAGACCTGAGGCCAGTGTTGTTGACTGTCGCGATTGTTGTAACGGTAGATGGGACCCGCAAGTGCGGATGCTTAGTTCGTGGCTGCCGAGGCGTGTTGCGCCAAGCCAAGCTGAGGACAGGCCAAGGCAAATGATACTGATGCGCGCAAACGGTGGTCGGCGTAAATAGATTGTATATTCGCTGCAATCAATTCCGCGGTCGCTGAAGTAGCAAGTTGGAGCAACGCTGTCGCAGTGTTGTTGTCGACGCGATGATTGCTTGTTGTCTTGGTCGGTCGCTTGCTGAGTGATGAGCGCCAGCCCTTTGTGTGGGGGGTGGACGTTTTTGGGCGATCTTGCCCCTGTCGAGTGGCTGCTATTAACGAGGCGTGTCTTGGCTCAAGAGCCGCATCACGTGATGTGGGCAAAAAAAAAAAAAGCCGAGCTCTGGGTGTAGGTACCGACAATACACCAAGGCAAGAGGTAAATGGTACAGCGAGAAAGAGGGAAGAAGTAGGGGGCTTGTACGAGTTAAAGGCAAAACGATTTGATCCGGATGTAGTTAGCGTGCTAAGGCCCTATAGGCCCAGTGCCTCCGGGCGAAATAAATCCCATCCATCCATCCATCCATAGTTACCGACAATACCTTCGAGGGAAGGGAACGAAAAAGCAAGCCATTCGGAAGCCCAAACTCTACTTTTTACCTTACTCAATATATGGTGTTCCATTTATTTCTCGCGGTTTCCTTCATCGCTCTCTCTTTTCTTGAGTTCTGTTGCTTTTGTCTATTCTGTTAACTTTTTGCTCCCCTCCCCAGTTCGGCTTTTTTTTGGCCAAAGGGAGACTCGGTAAACAATGAACTTGATAACAATTAATTGAGGTAGGGAACAATAAGCCGGGTGTGAAATTAATTAGGTGTCAAATAGAAGCAATGGATTATTACCGACATTCATGTTACCAAGCGTAACTCACTACATTGGTGAAGCATTCGCACAATTCATTTAACATGGCATGACCTTCCTTGCAGATTTCAGTCACAGAAAAAAACGCCGTCTCAACCCCCTGGTTGGGCTCGGCGGTGTCTTGTCCTATGGGTGCTATATAGCAAAATATGGAATCAAGGAAAACCACCGTGGGGGAATCAATCATCACCAACAAATACTCATAATCTTCACATCATATCCGCCATCATTGACTTACTTATTCCTTGCCCAACACCCGCCGTGCCCAGTCATCCTGGACCCTCGTTCCGTCCACGACCACCACCCCGCGGCCCCTCCCGATACGGTCCTCTCTATGCCACCACACTTCCTTCTCCTTGCCCGGCTTCTCAGCCTCTGACTCGCTATCCGCGAGCCCACCATGGCCGCTCTCGGCGCCCACCACCAGAATGACGTCATGCCGAAGCCAAGTCTGCATATTGGTGACGGTACTGCCGTTGTCGCCGGAGAGCGACTCCTGGAGGTAGATGATTTCGGGCTGCATGTGGCGCAGGATGTGCGAGTGGCCATTGGGCGACGTGAAAGAAACAATTAGCTGTCCTTTTCAACGAGGGCCTGGGCCTGCGAGTAAATGGGGTTGTATGCAGGGTCCGAGGACGACGCACCGATTCTGTCCAGTTGGTTAGCGAAAACGAAAAAAAAATAGGGGGGGAAAAGGATGCGTAAGAGCAGGTGAAACTTACAAGGGGCTCCGGGCTTCCTCAGACGCTTGTGCTTGGGCATGTTCAATGTTGGAAAAAGACGAGCTTAGCGACGGGGGAGGCAGGGCGCTGGTCGCATCCGGGTTGCTATCCTTCAAGTTCGGTGCGTAGATGAGCACATAAAGCTTGATCGCAGAGAAGTCCAGTTGGCGGGGGATGTGTGACAGAATGGACTGTTGTCGGGCATTAGAATAGCTCGCGATTTGAGATGTTGGCTTGTCTTGTTGGCACTTACAGCATGCTCGTGAAACCCATCGGCATCGATATCATCCAAGCGGTTGTCAGCCGAAATGACAATGGCAACCTTTTTCCGGCGCTTGTTGACATCCTTGCTCTGAGACGGCGCGGCAGCCCTGTCCTGCTTGGCATCCGCTTCCTCCGACCAGGTCTCGTGGTCGGCATATGCCGACTTGTCCTCCTCCCTAATCGCTGCCAACGCGCTTCCCACAACCGCGCCGGCAGCGGTCACACCGGCAGCGACCGTCCTCCTCGCGTTGTCAAAAAACTGTTGGGGGCTCGGGCTACGGCGCAATGCCGCCCAGCCAGAGCTGGACGACTCTGGCTGCGGCTGCACGCCGCCGAAGGTGGGGGTCTTGGGGCCGGTGCCGCCGGCGCCCCCGTCTCGGGATGCGCCGTAGGCGGGATTGTCGCCATAGTCAGCGTTATCGTAATCGAGGTCCTGAAGATCGGCGGGCTGCTCGGTCTCTTGGTTGTCTTCATCTTTGCGCAGGCTCCAGATCCAGGCGGCAACCCCGGCTGTCGCAACCGTCACGGTCACGGCGAGGGGCACCCAGTGGTTCCATACCCCGCGACGGCGGGACGACTCATAGGGCGGCGACATTGACGGCGCAGCGATGGATCATTGCGTTGCCGGCAATGGAATGGAAGAAGTGTTGTACTTGGCGCGCGCGTGTGTAGTACCTAGGATGTGCGTCCTGTGTGTGTGTTGTGTTATGTGTATGCTTGTCTGTGTGGGGGTCTTTCCGTTGGCCGGGTATTGAACAAGTGAAAACGTTATCGTCAGTAAGACTTCGGCGGCCAGATCAAAAAAAAAAGTTCAATTCTTCGGCAAAGGACGACAGAGTCTCGGAATCATGTGGCTGGTGTCGGGGGTTTCTGATGGCTGGGGATCAGGTTGTTGATGCACATCCCCAGCCTTCCATAGCCGAGCTCCATTTCCGGGCCAAAACCGAGGCAGATGGTTGGCCGGGCGAGCAAAACAACAGCAGGAGCTGATGCCAAGAAAACTCGCGGCAGGGGGCCAGGGTCCAAGGTTGGCACGCCCCGTTTTGCGCGCCCCGCTTTCACCTTGAGCTCATCTCTTCTTTGAGATGTAGGGATATGACGCACGGGCCATTCAACTCTTCGAAAGTGGGATGTGGATTTCTTAGGAAACACTTTCAGTGAGTCAGTCTTCGAAAATCAGACCTACAGAGAGCGACCACCTTAAACAAGTGACGTCAATTACACCAACTTTCGGCTTCACTGTCACTGGCGATACGATACGTAATTTTATTTTCAAAAAAACCGTTCTGCTCCGCGTCATAAATCTACCGAAACCGCAGTCAATTCTTCGATAGCGGGGCAGAATCCGTCTTTACGATGCCCCACGCTGTCAGTATCGCGACCCCGGGCCTCCAGGCCTTGATCCTCTGTGGCCCGGGCAGCTCATTCCCAACTTTCACCTCAAATCCCGATGAGAACCCCAAGGCTCTTCTCCCTATTGCCAACAGGCCAATGGTCTGGTATCCGCTCGAGTTTTGCTACCGGGCAGGGATAACAAGTGAGTGACATATCTAGCCGAGATGTCATGAACCAAGAGCCCAAATACATCTTGACCATTTCAAACACCGTTTGGCTTTCTTGGTCTAACATGACATAGATATCACACTGGTTTGCCCACCTTCGGCTGCAGAGGCTATCACCACCGCTCTGAAGACGAACCCCTTCTTGACCAGTTTGCCTTTTCCTCGACCTGACCTCCTCGCGCCAAAAGACCTGGACCAGAACACAGGGACAGCCGAGATACTCCGCCTCCCCGAACTGCAGGCCGTCGTTACGTCTGATTTTGTAGTGCTCCCCTGTGATCTTGTCTGCGAGCTGGGCGCCGACAAGCTGCTGCAAGCATGGATGGTCAAGTCAGCTAGCCTCGAAGACCTCGTCGGGGATTCGCCGTCTGGCAGCCCGCGGAGTGGTGGGCTTGGTGTGTATTACCAAACCAAGACAGCCACGCCCATCAAGGGCGAAGAGACAGATTTTGTGGCGACCATCCCACTCCCACCGACCTCAGTCCTCCCCCCGAAGGGCTCCCTATTCCCCGACATGGCAAAGGTGGTCTACTCCATGCCAACCGATTCTCTCAAGGACGTCGTGGGAGAAAAGAAGGGCTTCCCTGTACGGCACGGACTGCTTCGCCAGCACGCCCGGGTAAGAATACTGACCACCCACCGCGACGCTCACATCTACATCTTCCCGCATTGGGTGATGCAATTCATCAAGGATAACGAACGGCTCGAGACCATCGGCGAGGACGTCATCGGATGGTGGGTCAAGGCCGGCTGGCAAAAGGGCCTCTCCACCAAGCTCGGCCTAGACAGCATCCTCCAGCGGCCAGACAGCGGCAGCGCTGACGGGCATGCCAGCCCGAGCGGGCACAACCCCACCAGCACGCGCAAGCTCAGCGCCGACGCACCCAACACAGCCGCCTCGTCCAACAACGGCGACAGCGACAGCCAGTCAGACAACAGCGACGACAAGCGCTCCCCCGCCGAAACCGAGGCGCCCATCCCCCCCCATGCTCGCCTACATCCACCCGACCGGCCCCTCGGACCCCCTGATCCGGCGCGTCGACACGGCCCAGCTCCTCCTCCAAATCTCACTCCAACTCGCCAAGCTCCCCTCGCTCGAAGAGACGGGCGCGGATAACCCCTCATCCCCCTTCGCGCACGCGCGCAAGGTGGCCTACCCGGAGGGCGTCAAGTCGCGGACGACCATCACCAAGCAGGACAGCCTGGTGGCGGACAACGTGACGGTGCAGGAGAAGACGTCGATCAAGGAGTGCGTGGTGGGCGCCAACTGCCAGATCGGCGAGGGCGCCAAGCTGTCGCAGTGCCTGCTCATGGACGGCGTCGTGGTCGGCAAGAACTGCAAGCTGACTAAGTGCGTCCTGGGCAAGCGCAGCGAGCTCGGCGACGGCTGCGTGCTGACCGAGTGCGAGGTCCAGGAGAACCTGCTGGTCGAGGCTAAGAGTGAGTCGATTTCCGGTTGCCCCCGTGGTCCCCTACCCCCTTCCTGAGGCTCTTCCTCGTCATTGCCTACCCACCTTCTTTGGTTGGGACGGTTACGGCACATGGTTTTGCCAAGCACCAGTATTCTAACCTACTCCCGCGTATCACAGCCGAAGCAAAAGACGAAAAGTTCATGTCCTCCTCCGGTCTCGAAGCAACCCAGCAGGAGCTGGACGCTTTCGGGGACGACGACGGAGCAGACGGCGAGGACGATGACGACGAAGAATCCGACGAGTGAACCAAACCTGGTAGGACCCAGACTATCTATTGTTAGATGAGCTGAACCTATTCGGCCCGCCATCGTCGAGGAAAACAAAGTCGACCATGTCTGCCACAGCGTTGCATGGTGGGGGTGTTTGATGTCCAGCGGTTTCAGAGCGTCCCGCTCCTAAGGCTGTACCTGTATGTATGTGCAACAACCCCTGGCGGATGACGGGTAGGGCGTCAGTAGCCATGCCCAAAATAGGATCCTGCCGCTCTGCATTGCAGACTGCGGTCGCGACGCCTGCCGTGAAAAGAACCGGCGGAATGTCACTCGCATACTACGTAGCAATCTAGTGGTTTGTGGATGGACCGGCCAGTGAGTTTGGGTGCGGCTGTTTGCCATGCACTGTACTTGTCGTTTGGTGGTAGCGTGACCACATGAAGTAGTGCGGCTTTCGCGCCGGACTTGGCCTACACAGGCGAGAGAGGTCGAGAAAAACAGGGAATACCCCATCACGGGTGCCACACCTGGCAAACCATGTATGTCGGTACTGGGCAAGCGTGTAGGGCCCCACCACAGTGCAACGGCGAGGCTCAAAGTTCCCCTTGTTTCTCTCCTTGCCCTGTCCCGGGCCCTGACCTTCTCCCCCACCCCCTCAAGCCAAGTGGCGACTTGTTTCCATACGGCGGACAAGTGGTTTGCGCGAGTGACGAGGCTCTGGCGGATACCGCGGCCTACGCAGGCCCGGCGATAAGCGGTCAGCTCTGGGAGGGGCGACGGCGTCTCAAAGCGTGCCAAAGGCACCATTTCGTGGCTTGCATAACGTCGGGAACGGCGCGTGGTGTCCTCCCCTGGGTTGTTTGAGTGGTTGGGGAGTGGGAGTCACACCAAGGCGCGACGCGTGCGCCGAAGCGCTCTCCTTCCCGCTGCGAGTCCCCGCCGTATCATTCATCTAGCGAAATCAACATGGCCTCGCCGTCCTATTGCATGTAGTAGCTCAAATCGCTTAAATCGGCGAGCGAGGTGACCCGGTCCCGAGGCTGGCCCCGGAATCCGCCCAGGGTGGTGGCCGATAGGGCCAGTACGTGGAACGAACGCACCGAGTTCGGACCGTGATTTTTTTGCGCTGTCCGCCCTTGTTTTCCCTCCGTTTACCCCGAAGGGGCAAAGCATAAAGCCCATGGGCAAGGGCAGTACTATGACAGTTACCGGTTTATCTCAGATTTAGAAACTCGGGATATCCAGACAGAAGTTTCGAAATCAGCATCGCGGGTAGCTTCTCTGTGAGGCTGATCGAAACCAAAACAGGGACATTGTGTCAGGGGACATCCGCTACCCAGCAGGAAGCACAGGGACCCCCGTTTCAGCTTGGCACCGTTGCTTCATGTTTGCACCCCCAGAATTGGGCTCAGAGCGGCGAGCGCCGGACTAGAGCAGCCAAACACGGCGTGAATTCGCTGCGGCTCAAGGAGTTGTGGCCGAAGCCTCCGAAAATAGACATCGCCATGCGTTTATCCTTCCCAGCGGTGCGGTTGTGCCTCCGAGAAGAGGACAAGTTTGTCAAGGCCATTGTGTGTTCAAATTTGGAAATGTGGGTTATATGCGGCGGCGGCGGTGAAGGTAACTCCTTGCAAGTGCACAATCATCCGAGAAAATCGACACCTGGAGGTCGCCGGTAGGTCGCCGAGATGGCTCCAAGCCAGGCTATGGGCAAGTCAATCTGCGCCTGCTTCTTGCGTTCCGAGTTTTTGCGGGGGGACAAATAGTCTTCCTGGAGGGATGGAGCGAAAGCTTGACCGCTGAGAAAGTGTTTGCGACACACCTGCGGGGCCATCCACTAATATTTCGTTGTTGAGTTTCCCAAGAAGGGTTGTCACTTCCTTTACACCGGCGGCGCAGGCTCTAGATGTGATGTCAATTCATGAGCTGGGTTAGATGCACCCTGGGATTGCCAGAAACCTAGTCGACATTCGAAGTTGCTGCGCTAGTTCTTCGGTGGCGTTCCGGTGAGGCCATCTCCAGAACGCACGGTGATGAGCACAGTAAGGCTTTTCCCAGGTGCGGGGAACTTGAAGCTGCCTAGGTACCTAGGTGTTGTGGGAGATCGAAGAATCGAGGGCCCCTTTCATCACAGGAGACTGCTGTTGAACTAACCCGAGCTGTCCATCGTCGGACTTAATGCAGTCTGAGAAGCTCCAGGGAGAGCGCACAGACGGACAGTTTCAGCTTTTGATGACTTTGAGACAAGTGAGGGAGAGAGATAAGATCGTAGGGCCATTAAATTACTGCATCAGTACCTAGAGAGATACCTACCTAACTTCCAGTTTACCCTACAAGGGGTGTGGGATGGCGATACCTACCAGGTGACCGAACACGCTTAGACAGGGATCAGAGAACGGCCTGCGGGGTGAGCGTGGCAGTCGGCTGCTGGATCTCTCCCGCAGCGGCAGCGGATGCGCGCTAGTTAGGTGCCAGATTGAAATAATCGGAGTTTGTTTGCTTGGTCCATGCACCACACCCTGACCTTTAGGGCTGCCCCTTCCTGGTTTTCGAAGAGTGGAAGGCACGGCCACTGCCACGACCGAACAGCGGAAGGGACAAGTCTGGGCGTGGCCCCCTGGGAAACAACGACCCACGGGTGTCGATGAACCACATCTTGGACAGTGTCAAATCCACTCGACGTTGAGATAAGGTTGAGTACCTCCGTACCACAAACGTCGCACCAAGTGTCCACTTTGTGTTAGCGGCAACCATGGGGGTCTGTCCAACCCCGGCAGCACACGCCGAGACCCACGATCATAAGTGGGTCCCTGTCAAAAGTCTCCGGACCACCCAACGACGCCTTCCCTCCCCGGGAAGCGCGCTCTCCCCGAACGGCCAGGAACCTCAGGCACCCTGCACACCTGGCAAGTTCCTTCCCCGGTGGGCTGGATTTTTGCATTGGTAGCCCTCGGAGTGGCTTCCCTGGGTTTTCAATGCTGGCGCTTGCCGTTTTTGTCATTGACCAGACCGGACCGGCCTGTGGTGACTCGAGAACCGGTTTTCGCCCTTTTTTTCCTCTTAGATCCGGCTCAGGATGGCCGACCCATCTTTCTCGGCTTCGGCACAGGGAGCAGAGCAACGCATGGATGGGCGACCACGGAAACCTTGAAACGGAACTCCCCTGCCAATCCGGGTCTCGGTTCAATTTACGCTCTGAAAGGGCACCGCAAAAACTTGACGTCTCCAGAGCGCACATTGGCCAGCCTCGGCGGCGCCCACAAGCGAAGGGCAACACGGCGCCATTCCTCCTGTGTGTTCCCGTCATTTCAGGTACTCGGTCAAATCTCACGCAAGTGCTGGGATGAGGATAACGGTACCACACTCTGGGCTCGGCCGATCTGCCTTCCTGCTTTTCTCCGATGCTGCAAAGCAGATGTGGTGGGATGACACCGGCTGAGGTGTGTCGGGCCCCCCTGTCGCCATCCAGCTTCCCCAGTTTGCTCCAACGGTAGCCGTTTTGGTGCAGTTGGCTCGTCCGATTGGGGGCCCTTTGGGGCGACGGGCACACCATCTCAGCCGTCATGTTTGGCACCTTAAGCGGGCAGGCTGTTAGGCGTCGAGGCCACCGGTGTGGCTCCCTGTTGGTTCCTGCGTGGGCGGCACTGCTGCTGCAGTCAAGGACAGGGTTGAAACGCACCCACCATCGCCGTGGCACCTGCGCACGGCCGCTTGGCTTGCTGCCCTGGAGATCCCGAGACGGCCTTATTTCGTGAGCGACGGTGTGGTGGGGCTTGTCCCAGATGAAATCCTTCTTAGATTCCCCTTTCTCGGCGAGTTGAGCCGCGCCATCCCTTGGTCCCCTATATTGGCGAGCCTATTGCCCATTTGAGAAACGCCCTGTCTTTCATGTCTGAGGGGGGACGCCGCGTATCCGACGATCTTCTTGAACTCTTGTCTACTTATCCACCTCCATTGCTTCCTCCCCAGGGCGTAGTTCGTCTTCATCTTTGGTTTACACTTCGTCACCTCCACACAAACCACAACGCGGACGAAGAAATGATGGAATTCACTGAGGCGCCCGTGCTGAACATATCTCTCGACTTCGGGAACGACGCCGAATTCGAGTTTAACAACCTCGGGGCTGGATGGCCATTAGGCAGCGCCAGCGGCTCCTCGTGTGCCTCGTCAAGCTTCGGCCCTCATACGCCAACCTCTGGCCGCTCGAGTCCGCACTACTCCGGCTCCTTTGACTTCGGTTCTTCGTTTGCGTCCTCTACCGGCGTCGTCCCCTTCGATCACTCTCCGCCTTCTTCTGCCACGTCGACCTACTTTCCGATGACGCCCAAAACCAGCAACGTCTCCAGCTTCGTCTATCCCGTCTTCCCTACCACGCCTTCACGGGGACAGCTCGTTTTCTCTTGTGATCCGCTCAGCAGTTACGCTGTTCAGTTGACTCCCTCGCAAAACATGGACTGCAGCTTCCCCGTGAACCATCTCGATTCCCACCCCTACATGGACGCCCCACCCGCTTTGGGGCGGTATGACCACCTCTCTATGGGGGCGTCTCATTGGGCGTATCCGGACAGTCCCATCAGCTTTGACCAACAACACTCTCCGGTTGGGGTCGCGCAGCCAGTCCAATCGATCAAGCAGGAGTTCGACGAGGACACGAAGACGCCAATGACGCCAATGACGCCCTCGATCACGGCAAAAAAGCGAGTTCTGATGGACCAGACGCGGCACAAGACCATGGCGCTCCAGCAGCAAATGCAACAATTCTCGCCATCTCGGACACGGACGCGGGCCAAGAGAGGAAAAAAGTGCGGTACTGCGGCGGTGGGTGACGACAACTTCTCGATGGGCGCTGTCGAGCCGGCCACCAAATGCGAATGCCCTGTTGAGGGGTGCGATAAGCAGTATCGGAGATCTGAGCACATGAAGCGGCACATCCAGAGGTAAGTTTGAGACCAAAAAGCGTGATCTCAAAATGAGGACTGACATGGGATCAGCGCGCATGAGATGTCAGTGGAAAAGCGCTTCCGTTGCGATTGGTGTCACCACACATCCAACAGGATGGACAACTTGACTACTCATATCAAGCTGCACTGGGCCCCGAGGGAACACCCGGGGTCTAAGCCGAGGGTGAAGTACTGCCCTGCTGCGAAGCTACAATGGGAGAAGATGGTGCAGAACCAACGAAGGGGGGGTGGAGGCGCGAGGCGCAAAGCGCGCGCCGGCTCGGCCAAGTGAAATTGGTTGGACCAGGCTGAGCTTTGAGGACGATACGGATGTCTCGATGAGTACGATACTGGATGGATAATGCTAATGTACGTTACCGGAAATGGAAGGAGGGTTTTGGGATATGGCCTGGACGGGAATTGGGGGATCGGGAGTCACTGGGGCGCGTTCGACATATCCGGACGACAGGCGGCTGGCTGGGCATGTACGATTCAGGGGTTGGCCTGAGTGATATTAAGGGAAGGGGCTTTGGTTAACACTGTAATGTATGATCTATCGGCTGCTCAAGCTGTATTGGGACAATCAAATACAATAAAATAACAATCATGGTTTACATCAATACGTTCCATCACTCGTGGACCAAATCGCTTCGTGTTGTTTTCCTCCGAACGGCCTGGGCCCAAGGAGACCTCGATGCGATGACAGCCGGCACGTCGGTGTTGATGTGACAGCACCGAGTCAGTTGTTTTTTTTGTCTTGGACGTATGTCTCAGCCCAAGCCTGTCGCGGGCATTTTTTGGGCGCAACAAGTCCCCGAGCGAGATCTTGCAGCTGGGTGCTTGGTTGCTTTTTCCCAGCCCCACCCACGTTCAAGCCTGGGCAGCTGACGCCATCATCCATGTCCCCCCGTTTCCCGGGATCTCCCCTCCATCGTGTCGATAGCGTTGTTCGTGATGAGCAAACGGGCAGTACATAACTCTCTCATAGGAGGGGACCTTTGTTCTGGTTACGTTACACAAATATCTGTCTTGGGCTTACACGATCCATGGAAGATATGCCGAACCAATGAATGGGGGTCACATCTCGGTTTCGACTAGAACTCATAGCGTGCCAAGGCCATGTCTCTCGGGAGCCACTCAGTCTCGGGAATCGTACCCTCTGCCAATGATGTGATGGTGTCTCGAGGGTGTGTAAAAAAAATGAAAAGTACAGTGCAAGTAGAAGGGATCGGTCGTAGCGGGGCAGAGGCGTGGACCTTGTACGGGTACCCTCCTTTACACCGGTATGCATGTCTCCTTAGCCCCAGGTCGGTTCTGGCCAGGCACATGCTTGCTTAGTTAACTCGCTCATGGTTTAGCTCATCGCGACGAATGCGCTCCTCGGCATCATGATAGCCGGACTTTAGGGGGCATGGAAATGGCTCGGCCAACTCTGATCCCCTGAACCTGGTAATACCGCACACCCTCTTGGTCTGGATGGGACAAAGTTAAAAGTACTGGCCTTCAAACAAACCGGAAACCGGCGCTTAGCGGTTGATTGAGTGTGGTGGGAATCCGGTTGACCCCGCGTCGAGAAGGGCACCTTGTTTCTATCCCAGCCGGCCAATGCCATGATTCGGGGAAAATATTCCGGGAGTCAATAGAAGAATCAGTGGTAAGGAAATTCGCCTTGTAGTCAGCCTGCAGCGGTCGAGATGCTTAGTCGTACTTCGACACGGCAGACTAATAGACATTGCGTCGACGTGGCGGAGGAAACGCTCCGGGAAGGAGGCATTTGAGGGGCTTGTCAACCCTGCACTCCCCTCGACCCCTAGTCTATCGGGCCTACGTCAGTCGAAGAGAATTCGCATTGTCAAAGGTGGAATTTTTGGGAAGTGATAACTCAAAAATGTGATAGAAGTTCGTGATTGGGCAACAAACATAGTGGTTCCCCAGGGTGCCGGTTACGGTCGGTTGGCCCCAGTCACTACGGTGTCGTTCAATCGGGGTGTGGGCCTTCCAGCCCTGATGCTTGTATGTATCGGGGGACGAACTCCAAAACTGGGGATGAGAAGCGATTGCCAAGGCTGAGATCGACAGGTCCCCTCCACTTCCCCACTCTCCCACTTTCCCAGTCAGATCAAAAAAGCACAGAGAGACGGCAATAATTAACAATACACTCCACTCGGTCAACGGCGTCCGCCCGGATGCTACCTCAGCTGACCTGACACCGCATCCGAGTCTCATACAATGGATCTGTCCCGATAGCCACGCTGCCGGCCCGAACCCAACTCGCTCGACCTGATACCGCCATTGATGTAGCGGCCGCCGATCGATGCAGCCGCGGTGCAGCAACCGTGGTGCAGCAGCAGCAATAGCGGCCTGTACCTCGTTCCGCCCGTTTCCAGTCAAGCCCGCATGAAGCACTTCTAGCCGTATCTGGTGTTCTGGGGACGTCATTCATCTACTTGCACGCGCAATGGAACACACTGGCACCCACGGCCTTATCGCCGACCTGCCATCCTACCAAGATGCCATAACACGGCCAGACTGGCTCGAGCTTGTGGCGCCGTACATTCCCCCGAGGGACTACCCACGCCTCTGTCTTGTCTCGCAGCGCTTCTACCACCAGTTCGCCCCACGTCTCTGGAATGATCCGTTCGCCATCATCGGCCTGCTCAACCCTGATTGCGGCTAGTTTCCCCGACTCTACTTTTGCTCATTTCCCTTATGCATACGCCCGCAGTCTGACCGCCGTGTAGATCCCAAGTGGCTTCTCCGGTTCGTAAACCATGCCGTAAGCGTTCGAACAGTCACGCTGAGCAGCTTCATCCATTCCTACGACACGCGCCGCTTCTTTGTCGGCGCCGATGATCCCGTTTCTCAGCACGCGGGTGCTAGGGGGACCACCCCCCTCTCCGTTGCGCTTTTCACCATCGCCACCAAATTCCATCGACTGCGGTGCATCTTTCTGGATGACCACCCCAACTTGGAGCCTGAACCTCCGGTAAACCCGCTGTCCTCTGACTGGCTGCCGCCTTTGGAGCCGCCGTTACTCCTGAGCATTGCGCGGTGTCAAGTGGATTTGCCCTCGTCCTTCTTCGCGACCCCGTATCTCAGAAGCCTTGTGTATCTAGATGTGTCTGACATGCCTGGCTCTCTGAAATCCTCCCTAGCCCAACGGACCATAAGTCAAGCGAACCTGCCGAGCCTGCGCATTCTAAAAGCTCAAGGGCGCGAAATGGATAATGCCACAGCAACCCTACTCTTCAAGGCGTTCTGGGAGCAGCTGTGGAGCGTTGACCTGAGCCGAAACAAGCTCAGCGATGACATTCTAGATGTCATGCATCAGTTTTCATTTCCTTCGCAGACTTCAAGAGCAGACCATTTTGGTGTCGAAGGACGACTCTCTGGCCACCCAATAGGCACCACCTCCTTTGGGAAGTTCTGTGCCGTCCGAGAGTCGAACTGGAGTGCCACTTTTAGCCATCCTCACAGACATGTTGCCGATGCTCCGCATTACAACCTCAATGTCGAGGATGGATTTCATCCGATTTCTAGCCCCCGCTTGAACGGCCGAGTCGAGATTCGTCCTGACTCGCCAGATGGGATGAAGACCATATTCTCTGGAAACGCGGGCTCTCATGCCCCCTCGATAGAATCCGTGCACGCATTGGACACATGTCGTGGCCACCAGGGTGTAACTCACCTTTATCTGAACGGCAACAACATCTCTGCCGCGGGACTCGCCAGGATGATTCGATTGTCCCCAGGGCAGCTGCAGCGGCTCGAGTGCGACGCCATGGCTTTCAGACTTCCCGAAGCCGCCCCTCCCTCCTGGCTCTCCAGGGCGAAGCTGTCAGGCACCCTCGGCTGGACCCACGTGTTCCGTCCCGTGTTCTCAGCCAACCTGCAGGTGCTGCGCATCCACCACTCCGTGGTTACACAGCTGCTGTCCCTCGAGCTGGACGGCCTGTCGTCCCTGGCGAACCAGTGGGTGGCTGAGACACAGCTGCTCCCGCGGGCCGAACTCGCATATCCCGAGGCATTTGTGCCGGACATGAACCCCCGCCTGCAGTCGCTCGTCCTGACGCGCATCCCCAGGTACTCGGCCGGGCCGCTGGTTGACAAGCTGATTCATTTCTTGAGGCTCGCGTCAATACAGGAGCGGGCGATACAGGATATCAAGACTGCCGACCGGCATGGCCCGGTGACACTGCTTGGCCTACGGCATATCCGCCTCGAGTTCGAGCCTGACCTGCGGGATGAACTCGGGGATGACTCCGACCCCGATCTTGACTTTGATGCCGCGGCCGTGATGGATGATACCACGAACGAGTTCAGCTTCTTTGGCGAGTCCGCCTGGTCACCTTCGCCATTGCCCAAGCCGCCGCCGTCATCATCAACGGCACCAGCTGTAAAGAGACAACCTCCCGTACCCACCCTTCACATCTCTCCCTCGCCAGGCCCAGAGCCCGGGCTAAACCCCGAGCCCCAGTCGGCCCGACCACAACCGCGACCACAACACCCCCCTTCCTACCCCTCCCCCCAGCCCAACAACGCCCCCTCTCCTGAAACACCCGCGTCCCGCGAGACACATCCAGCCCCCCCAGACCACCTAGACCATCTAGAAAGCGAACTCCACACCTGGCTCTGGAATGGTTCACCCCACTCCGCCCAAGTCTGGACAGGCCCGGCCAGCAGCTTAACCCCCCCCAGAGACCAACAGCAAAAACCGCAACAACAACAACAAAAACAGAACCAAGAACCCACCCCGCCACGCACCACCACCGCAATGCACGAGTACGCTCGCCTCGTGCGCGCCCACCCCAGCCTCAAGATTGATCCCGTGCCCGCTACGCCCTGCCATATAGCGGCGGGCGTGCCGGCCAGTTTTAGCCATGGGGATGGTGATGGTGATCGCGATGGTGATAATGGGGGCGGTTCGTTGACGGTGCTGTTCTCGGCGGCGTGGGAGTGTATATTGTGCCCGCCCGCTCTTGATAATTCCAGTAGTAGTAGTGGTGCCAGTACTAGTCTCGGAAGGGGTGGGACGTCGTCCTTGTCGTCATCGTTCGCGGCCAAGCCTGCCCTCCCGACGCGGGCGCAGCTCAGGGGCATGCGGGATGTGGTAGCGGCGATTAAGGAGTATCGGGGGCGGACCAGGCGGGCGTGGGAGGGGTTGAGGAGGGAGAGGGAGGCTGCTGGGGAAGGGGCAGGGGGCGGCAGGGGCGATGGTAGAAGAGAGGTGGTGAAGTTGGGTGAGCCGCATTTTCATTGGGGCGGGCGGCTAGAGGTCGAGGTTGATGGGGCGGGGGCGTGGAGTCAGTCGAGGTATTGGCGGTAGGGGATTTCGTTCCTTCGGGGCGTGGTTAGGGGATGCGGTCCAGGGAGAGGATGAAGCGTTAAGGAACGGCTTTTGGGTTTGGTGGCGCTTGGTAGCGTTGGCTTGCTGGTATATCTGTGTTGGTGTTGTAGAGACCGGCGGGCACCTATCTGATGAGCCAGTGAGACATATCTGTGAAGTTATTTTGGCAGGCACACCGTAATAGTTAAAGAAGAGTCTGAAGATATACGAGTAGCGTATCTCAATGTTGTCGCTGTTGACTATTAGCTGTTTGGTATCATGGGCTGACAGTTGCCGTGAAGTGTCCGTCTGTAAAACAACACAAGGTCTGTTACGCATTGCTCGAATTCTACCCCTGACTTGTTGACCAGAAGATGTCATATTACCACCACCAGGTGGACGGCCGCCCCGAGGGCTACAACCTCCGCGTCAAGGCTGTCGACCCGTCCAAGCTTAATGTCGATTCGCTCAAGTAGAGCTAGGAGTAATCTGTCAGCCACCGACCGCGCGCTGACGGGAAGTGAGTTCAGCTTGCCCGAGATCGAACAGCACCACCAGTTCAACCACGCACTGAGAAGGGATATCATACTCTTATCTACTAAAACTGGTCTAGCTCCCATAAGCAAGCCGATCGGCTGAAAATCGTCGCCCGCCGATGCAAAAGGCAAATACGCCTGCCTGCCCGAGCCGCAAGGCGTCCGAGTAGCAACCAAGCGAAAGTTCTATCCATCCACCCGCCGGCCGTCGCTGCATTGAGAGTCGTCGTCGGTTCCCCCACAACGCCGAAAGCAAGATTCCGTTCCGACCATACCCTTGATATCGTGCAAATATTGTACACGGGCCGCCGCCTTCGCGTACCCTCGCCCTTTCCTATCTATTCACTGCCGCCCGAGCTTCGTTTTACTCGTTCACTTCTTGAAGGCCGTGTCGAACGCAGGGATCAGTGTCTGCGCCAGCCAGAAAGAGAAGACAAGCTTGGGACCGGTCATGAGGAGCTAGTTGCGAGTGTCAGAGTGATCATTTTCCCGGGTTAAGTTGGCAAAGGGTGACTAACCTTGGGAACCAGGCCCTTGAAGAAGGCCGACGGGCCCTCCTTCCTGGCCATGTTGCTCAGGATACGGAAGCCGCTCTCGGGGTTCTCAAAGTTGCGGTTCTGGATACGCGTCTTGATGACGTCGAGAGGGGCCGATACGACCAGCGAGGCCGACGCGCCCGCAATAGAGGCGATGAAGTTCTGGAACCATGTCGCCTTGTTGTAGTCCTGAAGCTTGAAGAGAAACTCCTTGGCGAAGGCCGAACCACCGAAGAGCTGTTTCGGGTCAGTATACATATTACGAGCCGGTCAGCAGACGGGCAGAAAACATACCGCGAACGACCCAGGGGCGTTTCTCGCCGCCGTCCAGCCCCACCCCCTGTACAGACCGAACCCCTCATCCCTGACAATAGCTAGGACACCACGGCCACGGAAGGCCTCGGGGTTGGTTTGGCGCTTGATCTTGAGCACGTCGAGCGGCAAAAGGACGATCTCACCGATACCGATAAGACTGCGATGTCACCACTTGTCAGCCCCTATTGTCAAAGCCGCACTTATACCCACCCGAGAATCAATCTCACCTTCCCGCAGTTGAGTGCATGATCGCCTTGCCGGTCTTCTTGCCGAACGCACCCTCAAAGTCCTTGCCGTAGTGGACGGTAAGATAGTCGCGGGCCACCGGCTGGCCACCGTACTTGTACACGCGCTGCAGCACCTTGTAGCCGGCGGCGTACCCGAGACCAGGGAATAGTGAGACGAACTTCCTCCCGAATGACGCGCCTGCCTTGTCCTTGAAGATGACCGAGTTGAGGTTCGCCAGGCTGCCAACCTAGTCCCGGCGCAAATATGTCAGTCCCGAGGTCCCTTTCGAAAGTAGCCGCCTCCTCAGGCTATGGGGATGGAGTTCGCGCACCTTCCCCTCATTGCTCATGAGCCGCTTCGCAATGGTATCGACCTGTCCGTAGTAGCTCTGTCAGCCCCATGTTCTCTCTCTTCCACCACAAGTAACGCAGCCATTGGAGTCCCGGAGTCGCAATCGTTAGGAGAACACACGGGATGGAAGATGGCCAGCTCGGCAATACCGGCAGAACCTGCACACGCATATCAAGTTAACAGCCGTCCCATTAGACATCAAAGACAAACCAATGCTACCTACCAGAGCCCAACAACCTCGCAAGGTTCGACTCCTTCTCGCGCCCGGCAGCCATCGGAGGGGACATTGTGTCTGCTTTTATGGTGTATGGGAAAAGAATAAAAACGGAACGGAACTCCTAGAAAAAAAACCGAGACTCTCGAATTGGCAGAAAGCAGAACCGACGGCGTAAAGTGAAGGACGAATATTTCAAGCAAAGAAGTCTACCCGACTTATTCTCGGTCAGTCACCACCCGGGCAGGTCAAAAAAAATTCGCGAGCCCGCTAATCCTAGCTCCGACAGCGGGGGCGGGCGTGAGTCGCGGGACAGAACAGACCCCTGATTATCGTTTATCGTTTATCGTGCAGCTGGGGTCAGGGTTCATTGGATGCACACATCAGACATCTCTCCAACACATACATCGGGCTGGATTAAGATGAGATGAACAGTTATTCGTAGATTCAGTTCCTCTAGCCGTGAAATCGTCCAGTTTCTATCTGGTACATGATACAAAATAGCGAAGCAACTAGCGGAAAGCGGCCCATATTACTTTGCCGCCTCGAAAGGCTATGTTGAGCCCTGGGTCAATGCCTCAGGAAGTAGTTAAAAGCAACCCTCCATGAAACGCCTGCTGAATGCCATGAACAAACAGTCCAACATTTTGTTTCCCATCCAAGCCAGCTACGCCGCCAATGCAATGTGACCTAGTGTCCATGAACCGGACACCTAGAAATTATCGGACAGAGACGAATATGTCTCCACCAAATCTGCAACTCGATGCCTCCCCAATTCGACCCCTTCAAAAATCTCGCAACACCGAAACGAGATCATCCACGCGCATGACTTGAGCAAACAGTTTCCGCTCGGACTCAAGGAACCTAGAATATCTCTCATAATACGACTTGCGCATGGTGTCCTTCTCGCGGCCCCGGACGTCGGTACGCTTGGTCGTCTCAAGCACGTCCCGCTCCTTCCGTCGCAAAGCCTCCAGCACTTGGAGGCAGTGCACCATGGTGACGTAGCCGGTGTCCAGCAGGCGGCTGAGCGAGCTGTCCATGTCGCAGAACCAAAGGAAGAATGACTTCTTGACATCGGCCTTCAGGTCGCGCGGTACTTCCTGCACCGAGACGAAGCCGGCGGTCTGCATCTCGAGCATCTTCTGTTGTAATTCAGGCTTCCGCATGAGTGCCACATTAGGAAGCGCTTTCTCGTCGAGCTTGCCTTTGGCGCGGAGAATGCGAACTAGCCGAAGGCCTTGCCGGCCGCATGTGCGCTCGATAACCGAGTCGAGCTCGGCCTCCCGAAGTGATTTCATCACGGGGACGAAATCAACTGTCCACTCGTTCGGCCCGCAGTGCCGCACAAAGTGTTGCGTGCTCTCTGCTAGCATAAGGAGATGCTGCCGCAGCTGAGCCGGTCGATCCATTCGGCGCTCTTTGGGTGCTGCCGATTCGTCGAATTTGACTTTTGTGCCGTTCGTACCGTTCGTACCGTTGACGCCGTTCGTTCCGTGCGTAGTTGAAGCTTTGTAGTCCGAGTCGTAGTCCGACTCCTCACTAGATTCATCCTCCCCTTCATCCTCGTCCGCGCTAGCTTCGCCATCGACCTCCGCCTCCTCGATTAATACCTTCTTCTTTGGCGGGTACAACTCGATTTTCTCGGCCGCCGTGGAAGACACCTGCCCTCTCTCTGCTTTTCCTATCCCTAGCGAGAGGTCGACAGATGTCTTGAGGTTATCGAGAATCTGGTCGGTAGTGACGGACCCCGGACCCTTGTCGTCTTCTTCATCCTTGTCTCCGACGGCATCCATCACAAGATCCGCACGGCAGCGGGACAGGTCCTTGGTAAGAAGCTTCAGCAGAACACCATACACATATGCCGTGGTTTCTCCGGTCATGTCGGTTGCGTACTGGACAAGCCGACGATTGCGTAGATCGACCAGGCACTTTTCGTAGTTGATCCTGATGACTTGTCTTGGCTAATGGGGGTTAGCATCACGATCATAAAATCCAAGGGGAAAAAAAAGTCCACTCACGTCCAGAGCAGGGTCCATATCCTCGTCGTGGGCGCCATTCGCCATCCCAAACCCGGCGAGAAGCTTTCGCCGTTTTGCTGCTGAGCCATTCTGCTCCAGCTTGCGCTTGAGTGACTTGGACTCGCCGCGAACTTTGCGGAGACCCTCGGCGATCCTCTCTTGCAGCTCCACCTTGGCTTTGTTTCCTTTGACGCCGGCAGGGAAATGCTTCTGCATGACCTCCTTCTCAACGGTTTTTAGAATATCTTCCGAACTCTCAAACGTTTTGGGATGAACGACATCAATCAATTCGGCTTCCACTAGCCGGCATATGATCGTGTTCAAGTGGGCGGTGCTCTTGATCAACGGCCCGGCCTTCTTGTCGGCCTTTGAGTCCCCATTGACGCCGTTTGCCTCGATGCCAAAGTCATTGTCGTCCCCGACCGTACTCTCTGTTTGGTTCCCCTGCTCGATCTTCTCCTTGTATGCCGCAACCAAATCCGATACCCTCGTCTGGCCCGACAGCAGGAGGCTCTGCATGACATCCTTTGCCGGTGCTCCAAAAGAAGTATCGATCATTTCGAGGATTTTGCCAGTGCGAACTAGGTTGTAGGCATTGTCGGGATTGGCTTCGTAAGAGGCAAATTCGGCGCCCGGATCCGTATGGTAAAACAGCAGATTATGCTGCTGGAGGACAGCGAGGCCATGGCGAACCTGGCGCGGAGTCATTGACGTGTATTGGGCGAGTTGTGGAACAGTCGAACGACCTTTGCTGAGGAGGATGGCGAATATTCTCTATGGCTCGGTTAGTGCCGGGCGCCACCAGCCAGCAAGGACGCAAGGCATGCAGTCGCATCGCAGGCAAGTAGGGAGTTACATACGGAAGGAAGTTCGCCATGGAGTTCGTCAATAAGCAGGGCACATAGCTCTGCGGCTGGTTTTGTCTGGCTATTGCGTTAGTACTGTCGAGTTGCGATAAAATAACCGGGCGTGCAGCAGCCAACAGGAACATGCGACAGCAATGCGTGCACGGGAACGCGACTTACCACCAGCATGATGGCAGTGTTAGAACGGTGACGTGAATTGCGGGAAAGTAGCGTCTAGAGATTCTCTCACTATCTCTAGAGCTGTCACAATTGCTACCGGAGACTCATTGAAAGGTACCGACGGTGATGCAAGGTGCAGCGTCGGAAGGAAATGATTGTCTGGTGGGGGACTGGAGAATGGGAGATAAATTTTGAGTCGCAGGCGGCCGGAGAGTCACAATCGGCAAGGCAAATTTGGGCGGTCGGCGCGGGGCAGTTCCAAAGGGGAAGCCAACCAATCACCACTCGCGTTTCAGTGCTGACAGCTGCCCCGGTGCCTTGGAGCCACTGAGCCACTGAGCGAGCCTTGGGCCGGAGAGGCACGGTCTCGGCAGAGCCAATTTTTCCGCCATACCGGGAAGCCCCCAGGGAATTTTCGGAACCAGTGCTAAGGTCGAAGAGCTCCCTCACGCAGTGTGCTGCCACCTACAGAAAGCGCCAATTGACGACAAACGGCCCCTCCAACCATGATCTGCAGACCGGCTCTGTCGAGGGGCAGCCAGCTGGCTCTCCGTCGCCAGGGAGCTGCGAAGCTTGCGCAGCGCGGATATGCGGCTGTTGCATCGCCTAAGGCATCATACGAGCCGACAACCATCGCCGGCGTCAAGGTCGCCTCCCGAGATGATAATGGCCCGACCACCCGCCTCGCTATCGTCGCCAAAGCCGGCACCCGCTACGAGCCTCTCCCAGGCCTGACAGTCGGTTTGGAGGCGTTCGCTTTCAAGGCAGGTCTTTTTTGGGCTGTTCTGTTGCTATTCGGGCGCTAGCGGAGGGGGTCCCGCGGCGGCGCATCGACAACGGATGAGCTAATTTGCTTTTCGTCTTCAGAACACCCAAAAACGCTCCGCTCTCCGCATCAACCGCGAGACGGAACTCCTCGGCGGCCAATTGAACGCGTACCACACCCGGGAAGCCCTCGTGCTCCAGGCCAACTTCCTCCGCGAGGACCTCCCCTACTTCACCGAGCTCCTTGCCGAGGTGCTGTCGCAGACGCGGTACACCAGTGCGTTGAAAAGCTTTCCTTTTTGTGTGTCTGGGATTTATGGAGGATAGGTTGTGCTCATCATTTGTGATTAGCCCATGAGTACCACGAGGAGGTCGTCAACGTCATCCGCCAGAAGCAGGCCAAGCTGGATGCTGCCGCCATCGCCCTCGATGCCGCGCACTCGGTCGCCTTCCACAACGGGCTCGGCGCCCCGCTTTACCCGACTCCCAACACGCCCATCGCCTCCTACCTAGACGAGAACTCTGTCGCTGCCTTCGCTGATGCTACCTTCACCAAGGGCACCATTGCCGTGGTGGCCGATGGCGCTAGCGAGTCTGGTCTCTCGAAGTGGATCGAGCCCTTCTTCAAGACCGTCCCCGCCCAGCCCTCGTCCGCTCTGCCCGCTGCTGCTTCCAAGTACTATGGTGGTCAGCAGCGCATCGCCAAGACCAGCGGCAACTCGATGGTCCTTGCCTTCCCCGGTGCGGCTCTCGGTGCCAACCAGCCCGAGACGGCCGTCCTCGTCGGTCTGCTCGGCGGCGAGTCCACTATCAAGTGGTCACCCGGCTTCTCGCTTCTGTCCAACGCTGCCACCGCCGCCCCCGGCGCGACTGCCAACGCCACCAACTTCGCTTACTCTGATGCCGGCCTCCTGACTATCCAGATCAACGGCTCGGCTGGTGCGGTCCGCAAGATTGCTGAGGAGTCGGTAAAGGCGCTCAGGAGTGTCGCTGAGGGCGGCGTGTCGCAGGAGAACCTGGTCAAGGCCATCGCCAAGGCCAAGTTCAACCTCCTCTCGGGTAGCGAAGTCAGCGGCACTGGTCTTGTACACGCCGGCGCCAACCTGATCCACGGCGGCCAGCCGTTGCAGGTCGCTGAGACGATCAAGGCTCTGGAGGGCGTGAACGCCGATAAGCTCAAGGCTGTACGTAGCCCCTTATCAAAGTTGGAAAGACTGACAGCTGACAAAATTCGACAGGCGGCCAAGACACTATTAGAGGGCAAGGCGTCGGTGGCGTCTGTCGGTGACCTGCATGTATTGCCGTTTGCCGAGGACCTTGGACTTAAGGTATAAACGGGGACCTGTAGAAAGGGGAAACGGGGAACGAGGAATGGGAAAGAGGAAAATGTACCAACAACCCTCCGCCGTCGTAGATTCACGGCCCGCCCACCACATTGTGCATATAGTGATTCTAGACCTAACTCACTTTCCTATGTCTGTGACCAAGCAAAAAGCTTAGAAAGCGGAAGGGTTGGTATGTGTGAAGCGTGGGTAGGGGTTGTGGAACTATATCATGAAGCCATTTTGTCAGCCTATAACCTATCCCCGGAACTGCAGTTAACCTTGGCAGCAAGTAAAATACTCAGAAACCTGTCCCTTGTCCTGAGTGTGGGTTGTGCTGCTAGGCTAGGTTTCGGGAGAGAGCGGAAGGTTGGTAGTGAGACGAGACGTGCTGTCGGGTCACGTGACGCGGAGCTGCGCGGAGCTTCTCGGCTGGGCGAGCCTTTTCTTGCCAGGAACGGCTCCATATCCCAGCAGACACAGCAACCATCACAGTCCTGCCAAACCGCTAAAATGACGTTCGCGTGGAAAGCCGCCGGCATTACGTGAGTCAATTGCTCCTTTCGCCCCCTCTCGACGGGTTTTGCGATGCCGCGAACAAGGGGACCGAACGATCGGGAAACGCACGGGAGGGGGGACAAAAGCTAACGCAACCGTTTTTCGAATTCTACAGCTACAACCGCTACCTCGCGGTCGCCGCGCGCGTCGTGCGCCGCAGCCTGAAGGATGACAAGAGACTTGTGGCCGAGCGCCGGGGCCAGCAGGACCTAAGATTCGCGAAGTGGACGGTAAGTGGGATTCGACCCTGGCGGAAATGGACGCGTCCGACGATTGGAACACCCGGGACTGACCAACGACCCTCTACGATTGATCGATACAGAACGGCAAGCAGGGCGAGCTCAAGAACCTGGCTGAAGCCAATGCCCAAGCGTCTGTCGAGAGCGCTGCGACCGGTGGTACCGCCTAAACTGCGAAATGATGACGGGTTGAGGGGAAGGTAGAGGGGGGTGGGCAGAAACGGTGTGTAAAATCTGGGCGGACAAGCACCACAGAACCTCGCTTCTGGTGTTTGCAAACGTTGGGACTGTACCATATTGGGGGGTGACTCAATAGAGGACTTTGACAAGAACTGCTGCCGGACTTGAAATCGCTTGGCGCATCGTACTGTGTCTCACGCTGGCCCTGCCTGCCTTTAAGACGCTAGAACCTGGCTTCGTCTTATAATAAAATTTACAAACTGCCAATGCCCGAATTTTAATCCATTTCGCCGTCTCGAGTGGCAATGCGGCCTCTAGGTTGGTGAGAAACAGCGACGAGCGAGCTTATCCACTCCAAGCTTCGGATGCTTGGTCACCAGAGAAGCTCAGGCACACAACACACCTGCCGATTATTCTGCTTTCAGGCTACACCAAACAACTCACACAGAAAAACATGAAATAAAATCACCCCGTCCAACTAAGCTATGAATCCGCTTCACGATGCCGAAGCGACTTTATCTAGGGGTATGTAAAATGATTTTACTTGGGGCTTAACCCCACGTTCTGACGAAGGCCGCTGATGAAATAAATGCTCAGAGCTCATGGATTTCGGCATTAGCAATCCCAACCCGGGCCCGTACTTCGACGCCTTCGAAGAACCTCCGCCGCCCGTTATATCGAGCGAGGGCATAGTGGTCACGGATATTACTGAGAAATTCCGAGCCGCTGCTGCCAGTAAGTTCAACTGATGACCACAGTCTGTCCTTGATCTCGACCTTTTACTGACCACGCCCACTACCTGCAACGAACAACAGCTTTGGAACCTGGTGAGCTCGTGAAAGATGCCTATTTCACTCTTTTCGAGTCCGTCGGGGCTCTCGAGGTTCGTCTTGCCGGACACCATCTTCTGGGATTTCGCTAACTTGCCCCTCAGGTGATGGATCCTAAAATGGACAGCGGCTGTCTGGCTCCTGGGGAGTCTCTTGATGACGATTATGACGTGACACGGCCACTTTTGCCTGCTGAGGTGATCGGAATCATCGACCAGCTACTCTCACTAGAGGTTAGTGCCCCCCTGGCGAACGGTCCAAGGACAAGAGCAGTTAACAGGGAGTAACAGATGGCATGGCATCTCGGCTACCCCCTTTCCCAAACGCTCTTCACGAGCGTTTACGTTGAAAAGATGCTACACCCAGCCCCTGAAACGCTCCAGGGCGCCGATTTTATCAGAGGCCGCACCGATGAGCTTCCACGAGATCCTATGCATGCCGCCCTCAGAGCTTATTGTCTCGGCTTGCTAAAGTCCTGTTACTATGTTAATGAACGTATTAAGAACGAACATTCTTATGAGGTAAATGGCTCTCATGCCGCATCTCGAATGGCAACGCTAATAGATCACTGGAAAGGAGGAGGATTTCGTGACAAATCCATACAACCGGTCGCTACTAGAGTCCATCGATCGATATGAGATTCGTGACGAGATCATGGAGGCTCGAAAAATCATCCACGACATCAGCCATACACTAACGGATGAGTTGGCACATGCGCTGGGCTTCCGCCTTGAGCTAAGGTCGGCTTTCCTACGGGCGATCGAGCTGTCGGAGCTGCGCAGTGACCCAGAGTCGTTGAGCCTACCGTGGTCCCAGATGCAGGGGGTCTGGGAGGTTGTCAACAAGACCCGCCACCTCGGGAAGCCTGTCCCGGAAGCATTTAGCACGAAGATACAACGACGGCTCGCTAGCACGATGCCCCCGCGCCCCATCGTGCAGCCGAGCGCAGAGGAGACGCACGAGCACTTCAAGAAGCTGATAGCGGACGGTATTAATGTGCTCAACGTTCTCCACTACTCCGACTCGCAGAGTCTTCTGGTGGGCTTCGAACCCTCTTTCAATGACATAAAGCTAGTCCTGACGCCGTAACAGAACTTTGTGTTGACCTTCCAGGCTCAAAAGCCCCAGCCGATGGTCTACATCCGGGCCATCCTCCAGAACTTCCTCTTCAACGACATGGTGATCCTCGGCCGCCTCAGCATCCGCCAAGTACTCGACGACGATCTTTCCATCGTTGTTCTGCCGAGCAGTCTCCTCCTCGACCGGGACAACGACTCGGTCGAAGCGCCCCATCACCCGCGCTACGCGATAGCCCACCAGATGGAACTCTTCCGCCAACGGGCAGCACAGTCCTACCTAGACATTTTCCGCACCTTCTGCCAAAACCGCTGCCGCGTCCGCCGCACCCTCTTCCACTCCCTCCAGGACTGGGAGATGGTCCAAGCCGACGCCGAAGAGATCGACCAGCTACTCCAACTCCAAACCGAAGAGAAGCCCATCACCTACCCGCCCCTCGGTGGCGTGCCCAGCCACTCCCTCCCGCTCTCTTCCTGGGCATATCACTACAAGCTCCGCCTCATGGAATGGACCGTCCAGCTCGGCTTCGAGCTCGAAATCTACCAACCCGACGAGCTCCCTGGCATGTACTGGTACCTCAGCCACCTGTCACACACGCGCGTCCTGCACCTCGAACGCATCCGCTTCTTCACCGCCCAGCGCCTCGAACCCCCCGGCGCCGCGAGCAGCAGCAAGACCCGCCCGGCCGCGCCCAGCCCCGAACTGGCCCGCTCCAAATCCTACCTCTACCTCGCGCACATCGAAGCGGCCGCCACCTCCGAACTCGCCGACGCCCTCAGCCAGCTCTACACCGCGCTCCTCCGCCTCGGCCTCGTCGCCCCGCCCCCGCGCCCCTACAGCACCGACGCGCTGCGCTACGAGGTGCGCATGAAACCGTTCGCGCCCATCGGCCTGCCGGCGCTGCCGTCTTTCGAGGCATTTACGCACGCCGTGCAGCGGCCGGAGGCGTCGACTGCCGCGCTGTTGGATGGTGCGGCGCGCGCGGCGGGGCGGGCTCGCGCGACGTTGGAAGGGCTGGTCAAGATGGGCGCGGCGGAGGTGTTTGCGGTGGGGTGTGTGGAGCGCTGGACGGCGGGGGTGAAGGAGTGGAATAAGGCGGCGATTGCGGTGGTGTTGGCGGTGGGGGTGGTGAAGAGGGTGGTGGATGAGGTTGGGGAGACTGGGGCTGGGGTTGGGGTTGGGGAGCGGTTGGGCGTGCAGGTGCCGCGGCCGGAGGAGGGATATCACGAGTGGTGGGTTGTGCCGAAGGTGGTGGAAAAATAGGGAGGTTTGGGATGGCATGGTGGCGCTGTTGATGAGAGGGGTGTTGAGGGGGTTGCGTGGGAATGGCCGGGGAGTGTGATGGGAAAGGGGGATTGGTTTGCCCTCTGGCTGAAAAGAAAGAAAAAAGAAATGATATTGCCGCCCGACCAATCTATCTGCCTCCCGTCGCCGGCTAACTTTACATAGTTTGACGTGTAATATACAACATTGTGTTCTCATGGCCCCTTCGGAGCAGATCGCCCGCTCTCGTTCAATTCCCCCTATTGTTCTTTTTCCTCCTCTCCTCTCTCCTCATCCCCTTTTCGAGGTTTGATCAACACGTTGCGTTTGGCTCCAATTTAATGATGGCCCAGGAATACAACTGCGTATCTGGTATCTCATAGCCCAGCTATGTTTAGGGCGTCCTAAATGAGGGTACGTATTTCGCCACCCTTGATCAGTTCGTGACCGCCGGCTTAAGCAGTGAGGGCCTTCTTGGCCATGGAGCCCCGGAGCCGGACTGAGTGCTCGTAGAGCACATCCTTGAAGGCGAAGAGGAAAGCCGCCGTCAGCACGCTCTGCGTTACCTTGGGGGCAATACCTAGGTGGGACAGCAAGTTAGTAGGTGGTTCAACAAGATATGAAGGGCATGAGAGAAATAAATAGTTACCCTTGTACAGCCCAGCATACCCCTCCTCCTTGATAACTCTGTTGATGGACCTCGATGACGCCCTCCTTCTTGTCGCCCGATGCGACGTGCATCTGGCTCTTGACGGTGATGTAGGGGTAGGTCACGCTGGTGGCGAACAGCTTGCCGACGGCACCCAGGAAGAAGGCCACGGTCGGGGTCACGCGGCGCTTCTTCTCGACCGCGTTCTTCATCTGCTCAAACAGCGTGTACTGCAGGATCGGGTTGATGACCAGCACCAGCGCGGGCACCACGCCGGCGAACAACGCCCGCGGGCCCTCGGTGCGCAGCAGGCCGAGCAGCGTGCCGATGGTGCTGGGTTTCTTCTCCCGCTTGGGCGGCGCGCCGCCGGGCAGGGTGTCCTTATCCCCCTCGGCCGCTTCGGCGTCGCTCGTGTGCTTGCGGGCTGTCATGCGCGTGTTGACGACCCAGATCGGGTTGGTGAGGATGACGGTTGCGGACCCCGCGATGGCGCCGGCGATCATGCTCTCGACGGTGGTCAGCTTCTTGGAGGCGCGCCCGGCCTTGGCGGCGGCCGACTCGAAGAAGGCGCGCGTCCATTCGTACCAGTAGTAGTACACGAAGTTGGTCACGCTGATACCGAACAGGGCCGACGACAGGCCCGAGTAGAGGCCCGCCACGCCCTCGCGCGCGATGATGTTCTGAACCGCGGCGAGGAAGGCTGTCTCGGCGCGCTTGGATTCGACTTGGGCGCGGGTCGAGAGGGTTATGAGGGGGTAGCTGGCGCACGGCGTGTTAGCCAAGAGGCGGCGACGGGTGTTGGGGAGGAGCACAGCGGAATAAGGACAAGGACAAGGACAAGAACACACGTGAGGGCCATAGACAGGACGCCGCCGCCAGCACCGGCAAGGGCGTGGGCAACATTGTCGTTTTGCGGAAGCACAGGCTTGGAGTGGGACATTCTGGGCGATTCTGGTAAATGCCAACTGAAGTAGTTGGATGGGGTGACAAGGCGGGCGCAATCAATGACGGCGCAGGCGGGGTTCGATGCGCCGAGGTCAGGCAGAGATGGGAATCTTGGGAGGGAAGCTGGAAGGTTGAATGAATTAGGAATCCCGCTGCTAGCAACAGCTGGAATGAACAATTATGTATGTGTATAGAATGGACCCGAGTATCAGGCTATAGAAATGCAATGCCTAGGATATGGACTCGATCCATTCCGTGTTCATTTGCTGCCCTCCTGGATCTCGGTGCAGTTGACCTTGAGATGATAGTGCCGCTACCGAGGTCCGATCACTGCGGGACCCCAGGAAATGGCAGGGGATGGCCTCGGCGGGCCGGCGACGTCACTCGCCCACTGCCGCATGCCGGGCGGGTTGTTGCGGCAGTTGGAATCATGTGAAAGCGCTCAAACCCAACTTTTGCAACGGCCAAGATGCAACAGCCAGGGATCAAGGAGCATTTAAGTGCGGAAGCGATGCGCATTCGATTTTGAAGTTGAGAGAGCATCAGACGAGCTTCAACTTCTGTCCTTTCTTCTCGCCCTTGGCTCGCTCAGTGGGATTCTCAAGACCTCCCTACCTAAGCCAATGTGAAGTTAGTTGTAATTATCTCGTTTCGAGACACGGTCGTAATTCGTGGCGCTTCTTTGAACGGCCGAGCTAAAGTCAGCCAACACATATTTATCAAAATATTTTACCAAAGCCGTGGGTGGCATTCCGCCATCTGCTTCCTCGATATTGCCCTTCAAGCCCGTTGGAACTGTGGGGGACAAGAAGCTGGGGAAATTTGAAACGACTGGCCGAGACCACATGTGACCGTTGCGGGGCAATTTACAGTGCATACATAACTAACACAGTTCTCAGGACAGTCCTCAGCACAGTCCTCAGCACAGTCTTCCCCCGATGCTTGGCAAGTCTATTTTTGGCCAGCTTCCCCAACCCCCAGACCACGCTGCAGACGCCTGGACGCGGCCCGGACTTCGAGAGCTGGAAAAGAAACATGGACAGCATGGCTGGACTCTTGCCCCCTCCATTTCATCGATTCAGCCTGGCCCATCATCGGACGCGATTGTCGAGACTATTGGCGAAGAAGCGAAATAAGCAGCCTTGATCTTCAGATTCTGGGCGAGACATTGACGGGATTGGCCGATCCTGGCTTCCATTCTGCGCGCGCCCTGAATTCGTCAATTCATCTCATCTGATGTCCTAAATAAATTCAACATCATCTCCTATCTTTGGGCATACGCCATCCCAATTCTTCGGTTTAGACGTTACGGTGTCGTGGAAGGCGGAAGGCGGAAGGCGATTGATTGACTGTCTGGCAAGGCAATGGGCATGCCGCTCGCTCCAACAACTCTCGATTCCTTCTCTCAGCACCGGTGCAGTTCGGATGACTGAAAATGGTCACCATGCAGCACCCACCCCAACCCGTCTTTACGACTTCAGGCTCGCCATCAGCACAACGAGCACTGCCCGACAGGAGCGTGAATAGCGCCTCCATTGAGGATGCCTATACCGCCTTCGTTCTTTACTGCAACCCGGGTGTTCCCATCGATACTGACTCGGCCGCCTTGCGCGAGGCATTCCGCACTCCACCGAAAAGTGGAGGCAAGAGCTTCAGTACCTACACCCTGTTCGAGCTGATCAAGAAGCTCGAGACCAAGGAGCTCAAGACATGGGCCGAGCTAGCCTTGAAGCTGGGCGTCGAGCCGCCGGACCAGGAGAAGGGCCAGAGTTCACAAAAAATCCAACAGTACGCCGTTCGTCTCAAGGTATGTGTCTATCTTATTAATCTACATGCTGGTTCATGGTTTTTGCTAACGCCAGAGCAAGAGGTGGATGCATTCCATGCACGTCGATGCCTTCTTTGAGTATCTTATTGGTCGAGAGTCTCCCTATTGGACCGAGATACCACCCGGACATGTCCCAGTCGCTGAGTTGGAGCGGGATGGCGTCGCTGCAGAGGACGACATGGCGTTGCGGGCACTCCTGCCCCAAATCAAACCCCGAAGGGGTAGGCGGAAACCCGAGGATGACGAAACTGGCAAGTCGCCTTCCCAGCGTCCATCCCCACAAGCGGAGGAAGATGGATCCGGCGGACAGGGCAACACGACAGAGCCGTGGACGGCGCAACCGGATGGGAGGGGCGGCGTCTTCTTGTTCCCCCCGGCCGCCGACCCCTCGAGGCTAAACCCATCCGCGCCCACTTGGGGAAACGAAATCGTGCAGACGCCCATGTCAGCGTATCTGATCTCACAGTCTGCGATCACGCTCTCTACCAGGAACGTCTTCTGGGCAGACGAGCCAAGGTCGGCCCTGACTCCCTTAAAACCCAGATCTCGCGAGCAGACGACATGGCGCTAAGGTGGTCTCGTCTGCTTGGCGGAGTGGCGGCATCGGCGCAACCGGCAAGACAAGAGGCAGGCCGCCTATCAACCGCGGCGCCAACGTCGAAGGGCCGTTTTCCGCATTTCCAACATCGGACGGGCCTGTTTTTAAGGTTCCCATCCCCCACTTCTGGCAAGGACAATCTGCCTAGCTCCTCTGCGGCGGCTCCCACAAGCAACCCTGCTTCCATCAACAACAACAATACGGCACCTCCTGAGCTACCTGCGCCACCCGCCCCCCAGGACCCCCCGCCCCAACCTACGCAGACGGTAAACCACTTCTCCCCGATCCAGGAGTCGGCGCCCACTCGACCAGCCAAGCGGAGAATGCTGTCGCTGCAGGTCCCTGAAAGAAAGGGGGGCGAGGTTCGGCTAGCCACGCCTCCACTTCCGGAGCCGGCAACGGCGCCGGTCGTCATGATCAACGGGCAATCGGCCGAGCCCCACGGCCAACCCGTGCTCGGGGCATTCAATGACCAGATTGGTGGCATGCCTACAGAAATCCCGGGGGCCATTGCAAGTGATTCTGTGCCACTGGGACCTATCCCTGGGCAACCAGGTACTTTCACACGGGACCCGACGGACCGCACTAACATGGCCGAAATCGAGGCCCTATTCGTGTCCACCCTATTGGATGGGGACTGGTACGATATCAATCAACAACCGATCCCTCCTGGTTCCGTCGAGGAAGCGCTGGCTTACTCGCAAACCGTCATCGAAACCCTACGCAAGACCGCACACACCAACGAAGCATTCTTAATCAACCTAGCCGGCCTGGCAGGAGGCAAATTTCTAATGCCCAAGGGCAGCCTGCGCGTCAATCGCCTCGAGGAACTCTCCGACCGGACACGGTACTCGATTACCTGGCAGCTGCAGTTTGGGGGTATCGTGGGGGTGTGGACCATGGATGAGACAGTTATGCATGACAGGTGGAAGAAGCCGAAGAAGGATGACGAAGCAGCGCCGTTGTCAGGGTCGACGACCCCCACTGGAACTGACGGGTCACAGGCGGAACATTGGAAAAAGAAGTACAAGGAGCTGGCGGCCACCTTGCAACAGCGCGACGAGGAGATGATGCGGCTCAAAGTGAGGGTTATCGAGTCAATGAGAAGGGGTTGACCAAGCTCGGGTTTGGCGAGTACACACTGTAGGACTGTAAAACGTAGTTATATACCCATGTAGAATTGATACACGAAAACATACGGGTCTTCCATCACACCTCCTCTCTTCCCGCTGCCCAACTTCTCTTGTTCCTGGTCAGCCTCTCTCCTTCCTCATCCCTAACCCTGGCCGCGATAATAGAACTGTGGTGGGGGTATTTGATAAGGACGCGTCTCTTGGCTGAATCTTTTCTCGATTAGGACGTGGGACCGACCTTCTTGTTCCTAGTCAACTCCCACTCTCCCCATCCCAAATTCCTCTTCGACTTCTCTTGGCCATCTTGGCCAGAAACAAAAGAGACGACAGGCAGCCCATTGACGGCAGTCAAGTCTCTCTTTTGATTCTAGCTAGAATGCTTTAACTACTGCCTGATCAGCCTTCCGCTCGTTCCATCCCGCCTTGTCCGTTCCTTCCTCGGCCTCGATTCGATGTCTTGCCCCTCGGCGCGCCGCTTAATCCCGCCTTTGTGATTCGACTGCGATACCTGATTACGCACGACCATATCAACATCACTACCGTTTCTCTTCTACCATTCCAACCTCGTTCGAATTCCTCCGCCATGCCGAAGCAATACGTCTTCTGTGGCCGCCCGCTGCCTCGGCTCGGGACCCGCCACATCTCGCTGCTTCTCGTCTTCCTAGCTATCTTCGCCGTGTTCAGCCTCCTCTTTACCCTCCCCGGTTCCATCTCCGCGAGCCCGAAGTTACGAGCCGCCGGCAATCGGTTCTCTATTCCGAAGTCGTTCAAGAGCCCCTGGATGAACAAACTCAACCCGTTCAAGCAACCCTCCCGCCCGCCGCGCATCCAGAAGACCGACACGGACGGCGACTCAGTATGGCACGCCGACTGGAACTGGCTGTTGATGCCCTTCAGCAGCTCCATTACTCTCGATGAAAACCGCGCCCTACTGCCCATGCTCAAGGACCGCACCCCAATCTACTGCTACTATGACAACACTGTCAAAAAAGACCGCTCGAGCGGCGACGCCGAGAGCGCCTTGCTGTTGACCTGGCGTCGCGCCTGGTGGGCTCAGGGGTTCAAGCCCGTTATTCTTAGTCCCGCCGAGGCCATGAACAACCCACTCTACCACGAGCTGCAGAAGCTGGAGGACATGACCCCGAAACTCAAGGAGGACCTGATGCGCTGGCTAGCCTGGGAGAACATGGGCGACGGCGTGCTTGCCCACCACCTTATTTTTCCCATGGGGCCGCACGACGACCCCTTGTTCACCTACCTCCGCCGCGGCGAGTTCCCCAAGTTGACACGGTTCAAGGATCTGGACGACGGCCTATTCATTGGGTCCATGGGCGATGTGACCAACGTCATAAAAACTGTCATGAACAGCGCCGAGATTAAGAAGGCTGAGGATATCGTGGCGCTGGTGGAGTCAAGCAAGAAGGAGAACCCATTTTCTGTCGATAATGCACCCGAATCCTTGGCTTACTACTCGGCGCGCCACGTCGAGAAGCTGTATCCCAAGATCGGCGATGATATCGCGGCATCCCACGCGGCAGGGCTGAAAAGCCTTACACAGCTTATCAGCGCTCACCTACACCTCACCTGGCAAAACATCTTCACCGGCGGCATCGCCGTGGTCAAGCCCCTGCCGCACCATACCACCCACCTCATCACTCCCGCCTACGAATTAGCCCAACGACTAGCTCACTGCCCGGAAAACCCACTTCCTAACACCTGCCCCCCCAATCGACCCAACTGTCGCCTTTGTGATGACTCAAAACCCCTGAAGATCACAACCCCATCTTCCTACTCCGGCGTCGCCACGCTATATACCATCGGCACCGTTCCGCACCCCTATACCTCATCCACCCTCAACTACCTCAAAACACAGCTCTCTATTCCTTGGATCCGCCGCGACTCCCCGCGCGACGCGTGGATAACCTCGTTGACCTCGTCCCTCTTTAGTGATTCCATCTCTACCACCCCACGACTCATCAGCTTCAAAGAGGCCGTCGCTTCTGACGAGGACGACATCAATGAAACTAAAGGAAAGGGGAAGGAAACCAAAGGCGGCGCATACCGCTCCCTCTGGCTCCCAGCCGAGCAGCCCCTCCCGGACGACCTCGACTGGCACTTTGGCTTCGCCCTCCCTGACGGAGCCACCTACGCTGACCAATCCACTCCCGGCTCCACGGATGACGACGCCGCCGCCGCCACGAGAAAGGGCGGCGTCCCGCTCCACTCTTCCAAAGACGGGCCCGTTCCAACAACCGACGACCTCGCCCTCGAGCCCGCCCTGTTCACGCGCGCTCAGACCGTCGTGCTCTCCAGCACATCCCGCATCACCCTCAAGGCCAAGGCCAGCGCCGAGGACCTCAAGCTCCGCGACGCCGTCGAGGCCTGGAACCTGGCCGACACCGAGGCCTGGCGCTTTGCCCGCGCCTACCTCGCCCGCAAGTCGGTCGAGCGCGCCAAGTGGGAGGAGGAGGAGACCCTCTACGGCGGCGGCGTCGGCGCGGAGAAATCACACCAGCAGCGGCCGGCGGGGCAGGGCAAGGAGGGAGGGGGCAAGGGCAAGGGGAGCAAAGTGTGGGATCGTTGGTTGGATCGGGATTGATTGGTTGTCTTTCTTTTTTGTTTTTCTCTCCTAGGTGGTGATATATGTTACCCACAGGGCCATTCCGATTTTATCATTTTTAGGGGGAGGAAGGCTGGGGAGGGGTCTATATTACGGGTCTTTAACGTGGCGGTCGGGTTGGCCGTGCTGTCTTGTCTTGGTGTGTCTTGTCTTGGTGTGTGTCAGCGGGCAAAAAGCGGGAAGGCGTTCAAGTTGGGTGTTGTACGGTGCTACGCTGTCCAAGTCAGTACCTGGAGTTTTTCTGTTGGGGGTTTCCCATGTATATACATGGCCGGCGTTGTTGGGTTTCATCAATGGGCTTGCCACTTAGCTGATAGAAGATGGTTTTAAAATGGAGCGATCGCCATTTCTCATATCCTAGAATACGGTCGTCTCTTCGTCGACTGACTTTGACCTGGGGCGATGGCTTACGCTAGCTCAGCCTTGACTCAAACTTCCCGGTACATAGACTGGATCCTGTGATTATTGGATAGCAAGCCGGTTCTCTAGGTATGATCCCTCGAGACTGATTGGGGACACTGTCGGGGGTAAACAAGAGGTCAAGGCCATTCCCAGTCACAAGGAGATTGCATGTAACCGGTATACTCCTTCTGTTTTATGAAAGCCCTATTCTACATCATCTAGTAGTAAGCTGCCCTCGATATTACATGCTCTCGGATCTCGCCAGATCCCCTCAACAACCATCCTCTATCATTAAGCTGGCCGAGTGCCTGAAAGTAACAACATATCGATGTGAGAAAGACCTTAACACTACATCTCCATCCTTCTCCGGCAGTAATTATGTTATGATGCCGACACCTGCCAACAACTCATCAATCTCCCCTAACACCTCACATTCCAAAGGCAGTGGTCAAATCACGTCGGGTAGCGACATCGACGGCCAGGTGCTTGAACTGGTCCTCGAGGGAGCTCACGCCACCCGGTGGGCAGTTCTCACCACGCTTCTCCGGAACGTTGGAGATGACGACACCTCCGTTTTCGTTCAGGTCGTGGATGTCGGGGAGCTTACCCGTAGGCACTGCCCTGGTGGACGACTGCTGATTCGTGGCAAGCGATGGAGTCAAGGACGCTGCAGCATTGCCTGTATAGTGTGGCAGAAAACCTTGGGCTGTGGTCGAAGACAGGGCACTGCTGGTCGGCCCCTTCTTCAACATTGTCTGCCACAGTTTTGCACTACAAAAACATCGTCAGTATGTCCTCGAAAACATCATTGTTTATCGGCGTGAGAGCCATACCCTGGGTTCTCTGGGCGCCGGTCAGCGGGCCCAACAGAATTGTGGCCTGCATTATCCTCAAACTTGAGAGATGCTCCCCCTACGATGTAATCCTCGGAACCGCCGTTGACCTGAGTCTCAAAAGAGATGGTCCTGGTAAGTCGGCTCGCAGTGCAGTTATCCTCACTAGCCGACACCCCTTTGGTATCGGCTCGCTGCAAGGGCGTCATGGGGCGGAATGGGTCACCATCCGAGTCTGTTGCGCGGTGGTTGGACTCTTGCGAGAGTTCAACAGACCGCTCCTTGACGGGCGATGGGGGGTAGAAGTGCTTCCCGTCATACTTGGGCAAACCCTTGACGGCAGACTTAGGCGCCTTCCCCCAGTACAAAAACCGGGCACGGCGCTCCTCTTCAGTCAGCGGACGCTTGTAACAATAGTCTTGGTCTCTAGCTGTACGGGGGTTGACACCCTTGGGAAGCGTGCCCAGCAAGTACGGCACTCCGAAGTTGGATGGTTGTTTGGTGCCGTTTCTGACAGAGCTGCCCGAGTCATCGGAAGTCCGGGGGTTGTCTTCGGCCTGCACAGGGAGAGCCATGTGTGCGGGGAAAGGCTGTGACACCGACCGCTGCTCGCTAACGCGGAGGTGCTCTAAGCTCTTGGATTCTGTCGCGAGCAGCCGCTTCTCTGCCTCTTCGTAGGCCTTCATTTCTCTGGCATACTGGGTACCTGTCCAGGTAGAAGCATAACCGCGAGGATGAAAGACGGGGGCCAAGGCTGCGTCGCTAGGTAAGCCTACCGTGCTGGGAAAGCCATTTATCCCAGGGAATGCCGGTTCCATGGGACCCCTAAACATGGCTTTGGCACCCTCACCGATGTTGGTGTTGATACCATAGGTGGCAAGGGCAAGCCGGCGATTGATCGCCTCGTCCATCTCCTTCTTGGTGGCTGGAGCTGCGTATCCAAGCGGTCCAGCCGGTCCAGCCGGTCCAGACGGCTGCGACGAGGTTCTCGCTTCCTCCGCGACGGTGGAGGGTTGGGGCGGTTTCTTATCCTCCTTCCCCTGTGCCGTCTTAAAATGCGCGTCTTCGTACTCAAGCTGGGTCCTCAGGGTCGTCTCAAATTTATGGATGTGACCTTTGATGATCTGAATCTTCTGCTCCATGTCCTTTTCGTCAATCTGGTGCCGATTGTACTGCAGCTGGTCCTCGTGATACTTGAGGTTTTGCTTGAATGAAGCAATCTGCTTCTTGGTGATGTCGCTGGGTCTGATTGACGAGATCGGCGGCGCCGCGGCCGCATTGAAGTTGGCATTAGCTGGGACAATGTGGTTGACAACGGGTGAGATTCCGGAGAGACTTTGGTTGGAGGGAGCGTAAGACGACCCCGTGGGCGCCGCGCTGGGTTGGGTTGGCTGTGGTGGGATGTACTGCCCGGGCATTTGGGGAGCAACGCCATGTGGAATGCCAACCACGTGGACAGGGACCATAGGATTGCCCAGGTGGCCTGGGAAGGCCCCAACGGGGTATATAATTTGACCGTTGTAGTAGAATGGCTCGGGCAGTGAAGACTTGGTCTTGCCTTGCTTGTCGTCGTCGGTCATCTTTGCGTTGTGCATGTCTTTCAGGGTGTTGCCAGTTGCAAGCGGTGCCGTGGTACCCTGTGGGAAAGAAAATCCTGGAGGAAGATGAGTTCCCAATGCCATAGGCACAAAAGAGACCGGGGCCTGAAGCGGCTGGAATCCGGGCGGATATCCAGTCATAAGCTGGGGCATGGTCGGGACTGGCTGGCCGAGGCCGACGGAGGCAGCCAGTGGTTTGCTCGATACTTCCTTGTCAGAGACACTTTGACTATCCATTACAGAATTATCACTCTCTCTCTTGGCGGTAGGCGACGGTGGGCCCCGGGTATTGGGGACGATTCGGCCACCGGCAGTGACACGAACATGTGTAGGAGAAACAACGGCTTTGTAAAAACGCTGGAAACCTTCGTCTCGCTGAGCTGGGGCGCCGGTGGGCGCGGGGATGGGCTCCGTTGTTGCAGCTTCGGTCTCGCTCCGTCCCCGGTATTTCCATTCCATTGGGCGGGAAGGGTCGTAAGGAGGATCTTGGGTGATATCCCGGGCAGTGTCCCGGGGAACTTCCCGGGTAGGAGCACGCAGTGAGTTGTGAGAAGCTTCCCGGGCAAGCTCACGGCCCATACGGCGGCTGACGGTGCCCTTGAATATGAGCTCATCTGAGGTCACAGAAGAATCATCCTTGTGTCTGATGGTGGACGGCTTGCAGCTGGTGCCGGAAGCAGAAGATGACTCTCGTCCAGGGCGACGAATTATATCAGCTAATGCCTTTCTATCAGCTACATCCCGTCAGACCAATGGATCCGAAAGACCTACCGATCTCAGGATTTCGAGCCATGGGCAAGATCTCATCCGGAATATGATTCGTACGAAGACCCATCAGCTCGGTCAGGGTGTAAGTTCGGCGAGCCATGTTGTGAATTATATGGGCAAAGACGTAGTACGTTCGATGCCTCGGTGCGTAGTGCCAGCGGAACAAGGTGGGATAGAGTTTGTCGCAATCGGGTCCAGATGGCAGCGACTGGATCACAAGGGCAACAACGGGCGGTACGAGAACCTTCTCACTATTCCGGTCTGTCAGTCTTTGCTCCTCAAGCTGTGACACAATGAATCGCGGCAAAAGAGAGCGATGAGTTTCGCGGGGGCTGTTGGCTGTCATAGAGTCAATTTTGACCTCTATAAACCTGCAGCGATTGTGCAACTGAAGGAGATGCTTGATCGCAAATACGGTTGGGGGGGTGATTGTGTAGTCTTCGCGTTGGAGGTCTTTTAGGCGCTGAAGAAGGCGGCGAGCTCGCTTGCGGAGAGATGGTTGCCTCATTTCGTCGGAAGGGAAAATAGGTAAAGTGAATTTATTGGGTTGTGGCGTGTAGGTGGGTAGGTGATGGAGGATGTTTGTGCTGTTTTGGGGCAGGGTAAGAGAGAATGGAAACTGGGGTCACTTACAAAGTGCCAGCGGAGTGAACTGCAGAACCGGATTGAATGTCAAGCTTGAGTAAAGCGGAAGTTGAATAAACCTGGAGTCACCTGTCGAGTGCTGTGGTAGGGTAGGTACCTAAGCGGTCAACAATCGAACAGCTCCACGGGAGGTTGAAGCCGAGAAATAGAGGAACGAGAAAGAAGAGGGAGGCAAGGTGATCGCGCCCAAAAAGCAAAATTTGCCAAAAGGACAGGGAGTGGGTGCAGCAAAGCGACGAGTCGAGTTGCTGTGTCCTGAAAAGAGATTCGGATAGAGAACAAGAGGGAGACGATGCAAAATGGCACGGCGATGGTGGAGGGAGGAAGAGAAATAGGTTAAGCAGAAACTGGTGGGAGAGTGCGGACTTTGACAGGACCGCTTGTAGGGGTCGAGTGTCTAGTTGAATTGGAAGGTGCGAGCAATGCCGGGAAGGAACGTGTTCCAGACGAGAAGTCGACATGAGACCATAGGATGGTAGTGAGGAAGGAAGGTACATCCGCATTAAGATGAGGTCTGTTCAGGTGGGAAGTGCTAAGCGTGCACCCTATCAATGATCGTACCTAATTCAAGTAGGTCGCGATGAGAGTACATCATTCTCTTTGGTTGTTATCGGGAAGTCTCTAACTTGCAGGATTCAGAGGTATACACATGAGATGCTCCAGCGAAAGCACAACCCCGTTGTTCCATATTAGGTACCTTTGTGTGAGTCGGAGATGAAACTGTCAAGTCACAGCTGCAAATAGGTCGACACCAGCACTGTAACAAAAGGAAAAAAACCCGAGAAAACTTTGCTCCATGTCACTAGAAAGGGTATATCTACTACTGTGTTTGTTGTGTTCACCCCGATGAGCCTTTCTTGAGCCCGCCCTAACCATACCACTCTCAGTTAGTTCCCCATACGCCTAAAGTCCAAGCCGACCCAGCTGCAGACCCTCTTATTAACCCACCCGGTCCTAAGCTTTGCCTTTGGGTTTTGTAATCCACTTCGCTAGCCCTGCTCGCCCCGGCAGCACCGTGCTGCAACCAAAGCTCTCGATCAATGGTGGCAATCGCTGGCGCCTTGAGCTGGGTGATCAAGCTCGCCCCGCTCCAGGCACCGAGCGACTCAATGGCCCTCATCTCGCCCTGCACTCGTGGCATCCTGTCGGTTCCTCTCTTCAACTGCTCCTCGATGGCGTCTACCTCGGGTGTGGTGTTGACTGCGTCGTGCCAGACGCCGTCTTTTTCCTCGCCCCCATGAGCCTGTGGGGAGTTGCCGGGTGAAGCGTTGCCCTCTTGACTCGCCCCCCTCCTCTTCAACTTGGGGTTGGTGCGCAGCTTTTCCACGGCCTTGCCTTGAACAGGATCCCACCCTCTCTCTTGAACGAGATGGGATACTTCATCCAAGATTCGGCCTCGGAGGCCGAGGACATTGGCACATCCGCCAGTGAAGATGATGCGAGACACGCAAAGCGCTCGTACATCCAACGGTAGTTGAAGAAGGCTCCGGTAGACTAATAAATGCAGGGGCTGTTCATGGTCATCGAAGCAGCAATATGAATATTGGGAGTCGAAGAACGCATTTTCGCAGGGTTCCGCGAGGGCGTCGAAGGGGAGCTCCAGCGTGGTTGGCGATTTCCAGGTCTTCAAAGGTATCGTAACTGAGCCGGATTCCCTTGGTGTTATGTGTTCCGCTGGGTCGCCTTCATCCTGCTCTTGAACGGTGGCTAAGGCATCGGAGGACCGTTGGTCGGAGGGCGGTTGGGCGGGGACGGGGGCCTGACGAGGTTTGCACCAGACCATGCGAGTGGTGATGTCGCTACATTCTTCAAAACTAATGACACGCTCCTCGCCATCACCAGCCCCAGTTTCGGGGAGATTCTTGGCGAGCAGGTTGTGCGTCTGCTCGACAAGCATCCTGCCACCGCGGATGCTCCGCCTTAAGTCCACTTCACGGTACTCGCAGACACTCGTGACAGTTGTCTCGTTCCAGCCAAGATCAACGACAAGTGCCGAGCGTACCCCGGCGCCAACAGTCAAGGCGAGTTGAGACGAGAGTAGTGAGATGGTAGGCGACATGAAGCGGCTGAAGACGCTGTCCAGAGCCGCTGACAACAAGGGAATCGGTAGCGTGGAGGGAATGACCCAGACCAACCTCCGCGGGCGTGAGTCGATGAGTAGATATCTAGAACCTCATCAGAATCATGCCATATGATGACCGGAGGCGGTTTGCTTACTTTGTAAACGCTTCTCTTAGTGCCCGCTCGATCTTGTCCCCCACCAGACCGAGATCAACATCCCGAACATCATACTGCCACAACTCGTGGCTTTTTCCCCACGATCCATCCGCGGCTTCTGTTCTCCATTCATGGTGGTAGTCCGTCTGCCAGGCCCTAAAGTCACCAGCCCTACGCTGTTGGTCGGGCGCAAACCAAACGCATCCTCTGGGAACCGAATCCCCGGAAAAGCCAACCTGCAGTTTCCGGGTACCAAATTCAATGATGATGATCTCTTCATCAGCACGAAGACTGGATGGCGATCCATAAGTGGATGGGAGGGCGGAGATGGGCCGGAGTGGTGTAGATGGCCCGCTCTGGTGATGACCGGCTCCGGTTGGTGATCGGATGTTAACGACCGACCGGTGCGGAAGCGGTGCTGAACCCGAGGGTGTCGTCATTTTAGAGGCGGATAAAATCTCAAAATGCCATGATCTGAGATGATTTGTAGTTGGGATTGGCTTTACCAAAAGTAAAAAAGATTCTCACTCTTTGTCTTGTTTGCTCCTGGGTTTGGTATCTCAATCAACATCGAAAGCTCGCGTTACCTAACAAACCATCATTCCTCGCGTTTGGGCCAGGCCCGGTAGTTAGCTTGTTAATTGCATAATTGTTGTGGCATGCAACTAAACCAAATTATGACGTAAATGGCCCTGCTGTGCTCCCCTGACAACCCTCAAATACCTCCCAAAACGGAAGAACGTCAACATCGGGTCAACAAAAGCGAAGTTCGAATCTTGAAATGAAATTGAACTCCTGCCATCAAATGTTTGACGCTTCTAGTTAAATTTCCGAAAATTTAATTTTGAACTTTTTTTTTTGCTCGATTGTTTTCCTACCATGCTTCGGTAACCAGTCTTGTTTTGGGATTTTGGAGCAGCAAGAGCACCGAAAACCGCCACGATGGGGATTAAAGGGTACGGGCAACTCACCGTACAGTTTTAGCCGGCGATGGGATTGCTAACTCCTAGAACTGCAGAATATATAAGGAAATAGGTTCCGGCGATCGTATTTCCCTCTGTAAGCTCGCCGTCGATACTCTCGAGCAAACTGGCCGACCACTTCGGCTGGCCATCGACTTCTCGATATGGCAGTTTCAAGTACAGGCAGCTCGGGGTGTGTAGTGCTTCTTGCCTTCGTCGCCCTCCTTTCTCACCTGGATTCTAACAATTGACTACTAGGCGGCTCCAATCCCGCGATCCGTACATTATTCTACCGCCTCGTCCGCCTTCTCGGCCACGCCATACACCCCATATTCGTTTTCGACGGCCCAAACAAGCCCGCCTTCAAACGCAACAAGCGCTCTTCAGGGCGCGGTGATATGGTAGCCACCGCCATGGGAAAACGCCTCATCCGACATTTCGGCTTTGCGATACATGACGCGCCCGGTGAAGCGGAGGCCGAGTGCGCGCTGCTTGAGCAGCAGGGCGTCGTCGACGCCGTCCTCAGCGAGGACGTAGACACAATCATGTTTGGCTGCCGCAAGACGCTGCGGAATTGGTCCTCCGAGGGGTCGAGGGGCTCCAAGACGCCGACTCACGTGTCCGTGTACGACGCCGCTGCCGTGGCTGCGGGGACGAGCAAGCTGGACAGGGAGGGGATGGTGCTCGTCGCGCTGATGAGTGGAGGCGATTACCTTCCCGAGGGCGTGCCTGGGTGCGGCGTCAAGGTCGCTTGCGAGGCGGCGAGAGGCGGATTTGGACGGGACCTGTGCCGGATTAAGAAAGCGGACAGGGACGGCCTCATGGCATGGAAGGCGAGACTTTTGCACGAGTTGCGGACAAATGAAAGTGGGATTTTTCGGACCAGGCACAAGGCTTTGGAAATACCGGAAAGCTTTCCAAACATGGAAATTCTGCGATACTATACGCACCCGGTTGTGTCCAGGGAGACTACCATCGAGCGACTGAAGAAGGAATTTCCTCCTGCAAGCACTGTGGATGTCGTGGGGCTGAGAGAGTTTGCCCGCGAGACGTTCGACTGGGAGTTCAAGGATGGAGCCGTCAAGCTTATTCGCGTCTTGGCCCCAAGTTTTTTGGTTCAGCAGTTTCTCGATCGATCCAAGTCCACAGCGGCAGATGATGGCGATGTCGATATGAAACGGAAAAAGGAGTCAGCGCTCGTAAAAACAATCTCAACTAAACGGGCACACTTCAGCACTGACGCTACACCCGAGCTGCGATTATCTATTGTCCCAGCCGATATCGTCAAGTTGGACTTGAGCAAGGAACCGGAAGAGGAGGTTGAGGGCTTTGGCCGCAGCGGTATTGCACTGAACAGCGACGACGAGTTCGATGAGGAGCCTGGAGATGAACTGAGCAGTGAACAGCCAAAGTCCAGTGTTAGAAAACCGTTTGACCCATTCCAACCAGAATTGGTGTGGGTTCCAGCAACGCTTGCAAAGTTTGGGATTCCTCTCACTGTAGAAGATTGGGAAGGGCGACAGAGAAGGAAAGAGCAACGGGCCGCCACCAAGGGCACCAGGAAGCCGAGGGCCAAGAAGGCGGACATGCCGGTTGGGGCGTTGGACAAATATGTCAAGGTGACCAAAAAGGTTGGCGACACGGAGAAAGACGCGCCGCTTCTTGAACTCGCATCATCACCTCCGACGACCAACGACCAATGCAACCCGCCTGCGCCAACGGGAAGAAGCAAGCAGTCTGTGAAAACCGCCACCTCTTCCCAGGCCAGACCATTAGCGGATATCAACCCCTGGACGCTCGCAAACTCACATGCCAGTCCCAGGGCTGCTAAGTCCCTTTCATCTACCGCTCCACAGGCTCGACCCAAGCCCACCTCTACCCGGGAGGCAATCCTTATCTCATCTAGCCCCGCCGCCCCTGCCTCACCTGAGGCCTCTAGCACGAGTTTGAGGTATATCCAGGTGACGCCAACGAGGACAAAGCGTGTAAGCTCGCCGATGGGGGATATCCCCTCCCCAGGATCGCTATTCGGCCCGTCTCCAAGCCCAAGACAGCCGCAATTCCCAGTTTTCGAAGAGCCGGCTGAAACGCGGCAACCGACGGCGACGACAGATTTGACGAGGAAAGCGAGGCCGTTCAAGAAGGTCAAGAGCGGTGCAGGCGGCTCCGCAAACACCTCGACGCAAAAGTCGATTAAGGCGTTTGGCCAAGTGCTGAAGAACGTAGGCTCTTCGCAAGTCAGTTCGAAACCCGACCCCTGCGACAAACAACCGATCGAGATCTTATCCGATGACGAGGATGTCCCTCTGCCACCACTCACGCGGCCACCAGCCGCGAGTATATTCGGCCGGAATGCCACTCGCACCAATAGCAGCTTCGGCTTAGCCAGTGACGACGATCCGTTTGTCTCACCACCACCAGCCCGCCGCACCATTTCGCCGTGTTCTCTCCCAATACACGCCGATGCGACGGCTTCATCAACCCAGCGCAAACCGGGGCGGCACCTCCAACCCGAAGCGAAGGGTATAGACGCGGCCATTGACGACACCGCTCGTAGCACAACCACTACCACAAAAAGCACATCAACAGAATTATATATCCTCGGCACGAGCCTCAAAGGCAAAGCCTACTTCGGCAACCCTGGAGGTTCACCGTGACGACGCAGACCGGGATACAGGCTACCCACAACGCCCCGCGACAGGGTAAGCCACCAAGCAGACGGGCGTGGCGGCGGAGCGAGATACCAGTTTTAGACCTCACTGGAGAGGACTGAGAGGACTGAGCATTGCATACCTGGCCATGGTTTGGGGGACAGGGAAGAAACAACTGGGACATGAGAGGATGATACCCTTAGATTTAATGAACAAAATAGCTTCAATCGTGACGCTCTTCGTCTTGGTCACGTCACTCACAGTGTGATGGTAATATCGCATATTCGATCCAGTACGGAAGGTATAATTGGTTGGCCATCAGCCACAACGTATGAGAAAAAGTAAAGTACACAACCAACCAAAAAAAAAAAGAAATAAGAAGCCAACGCCGCCTCCCCTGCCCTACCTAACAACGCCGTCTTTTATAGCACACTCCATCCATCAGAACAGCCCCCGCTCGACCCTTTCCAGCCCCCCACCACTCCACCACTCCCCCTCCACTCTCATACCCTCGTAGGCTGCTTCGCGAGCAAGACATTGACGCTCTCGCGCGCATTAGTCGTAGCCCAGACACTGTCGCGCCCACCACGGCGCCACTCATCGCCGGTGGCATCCTCGCCACCGCCGCGGGTGGCCTCGCCCATGATGACCTCGAGATCCCTCTTCTGGGAGCTCAGCCAGCCCTTGACGAAACCGACGGGGTCGCGGGCCATGGAGGCGAGGAAAGGTGTGCTTGGCCTTGGACTGAGGCGACGGCCTGGATGAGCACGGCGAGCTGGTCGTCGAGCCCGACGACCCTCCTTGAGCATGCCGGCGTACTGCGGCGTTGTGCACGAAGGGCGACAGCCGCGAAGCGCAGCGAGTCGTCGACCGGCACGCGCACGTCGTAGATGGTCGGCTGGGGGTCCTTGTGGAAGTCCTCGTCTACGCGGATCGTGTAGGCCAGCTTCACGGGGCGGGAGCGCCCGTAGGTGTGGCGTGAGGTAGTCGTTGAGCTGGGGGGATGTAGCCCGTTTCGCGGGAGATGACCTAGCAAGAGGGGTGGTGTGTCAGGAAGGCGAACAAGTGCGGTGTGGGGTATGGTAGGCAGGGAAGAACAGGGAGCGGGGTACGAACCTTTCGCAGGAGATCGTCGCATCGGAAGTTGCGCTTCTCTTCGTCCTCTTGTAGGTTCATCAACTTGATGTACTCCCACAGCGCCATGACTGCCTCCTGGCGTGTTGCCTCGCGCATGTCGATGATATCGGCGAGCGCCGGGGTCAGCTCGAAGCGCTCGGGGTCTTCGTGCCGGAACAGGTTGATGGTAATGTTCATGTTTTCATCGCCGTTGCGCTTGAAGGTGAACTCGTCAAAATCGGCCATAGCCGGCAAATTGCCAGCGCCCGCCGGCGTCCTGTCGGGCTTTTTCCACTCCACGCTGGCCTCCGCACCCTGGCGGGCCGGGCTTTGGACGATCAAAGTCCACGGTGAGGGCTTTGAAGAAATGCGACAACCGCGGCCGCTTGGCGGCGGCCGCAGGTTTGCTCTTAGTTTTGCTGGGGCTATCCGTTTCCATCTTGTCCCCTTCCGCCTCGTTATCATCGCCTTTGCGCTGCTCCTCATCCGCTTCTACTTCGTCTTCGTCGTCGAGCAGTCGGCCTTCGATCTTGACGCGGTATGTGGACTCAAGGTTGGACGAAAAGTCGAATGTGTCGACGCCGAGGCCGTTGCCCTGCCAGAACTGGTCCTCGACGGTATTGCTAACCCAGATGCGCAAAGTCTTGTACCGCTAAACCGACCCACGTCAGCCACCGAGTCCATGTCACACCCCTCACGTCCCCCACCACACCTCTCATGATAGGATTGACATACCTTGGGTATTGCGGTTCAACGAATCAACAATGTCTAACCTCTTGCGCGTCATGGTGGCATCGAGCCGGCGCTCCAAGTCACGGAGCTGCGTGTAACAGGCGGCAACGTCGCTCCCCGCAGACAGCCCTTCCTCGACGCCATCTGGTAGGTTCTTGTCGGTCGGCTTACCACTCCTCAGTTTCGCTAAGTGGTTGGCCTGCTGCTGTTGGTGGTGCTGCTGGTTGATCTGCGCCTGTGTCATGGGCACCGAGTGGTGAGGACCGGCGGACATCATGGGGCCTGCGACAGTAAGCGTTAGGGGCTAGGGCTCTCTCTCTCTCAACGGATTGGCGGCTTGGAGTCGTGTGTTGCGGGTTGGTGATTCGCGATGCGCTAAGGTTCAGAGACTGGAGTCCGGCGCGCGCAGCGGTCTGAGATCCCAAGCGCAAAGCTCCACCTAACGCAAAGCCCGTGCCGGGGGCGAGTAAAAGCGGAGCGAGTTCGGGGCCAGCAAGCCGGGCTCGTTCCGGGGTTCTAGAAAATAATCGGACGAAGCCAAGTGATTCACATACCGATGCCGCCTCGGCGTTGTGGGACATGTTGTCCTCCTCCTCCTGCCCTCGGGGGCGCATGTTGTTGTCCGTAGCCACGGTATTGCGGCTGCATATTGTCTCAATCGGCCAGTTCGCTCCTGAAGCAATTGGACGGATAAAATAAAAGGATTGTGGATGGATATTCTTTTTTTTTCTTCGTGGTGCGGTCGGGTCCGGCAGTCCGGGTTTCGCTGTGCGGCGCGTTGATCGCGTCGTGGTTTCCAAATTGGTGGAGTTTCGCAAAGCAACGCACATGCAGGCCCCACACAGGTGTTCACTCTTGGCAAAACTTGAGAGAAGTTGGCCCGCTGGCCCGCTTGCTACAGAAAAGTGACCTTCGCACGATCCGTTAACTCCTGGCAACAACGTTACCAGGCAATCGGGAGGCAAAACGAGCTCTCAATGTTAAACTACCCGTTAAGGAGTTTCAAGGTCGTATATGATATCACCCGTAACTTATAATTAAGGCTCTCTGGGTTGGTCTATTCGTGTCACAAAATGCCAACTAAGGATATTTCTGTCCTTTCGCGGCATGATAGCCATGGAGATCAACATTCAACAACCAGATACTCAAGAAGACAAGCTGTGACTGTCTGGCCAACACAGCGTTTTGGGACCGAAGTAAACTAGTATACACAAGAGTCCCAAGTGTAATGCAACCTGAATTCCCCACACGTTCCGCGAAAATCGTCTGCAGAAAAAAACAAAAGCCAAAAAGAAGAAAAAAAAAAAGAGAGAGAGAGGGAGATGAGTGGCTAGATGATGCGGGAAGAGCCAGCGCCACGCTCCTAGAAGTGCCCATTAAAGGTAGTAGTAGTTGCAGTTGAGATACTATGCCATCCCCCCAAAACCTCCCGGGGCGGCCCTCAGGCCACCCCATGCATTCCATGCCCGTGTCCAAATCCTCCGATTGTTCGACCTCACCCGTGGCCGTCGCACTCCAGAACGGCGTGCCCCCCCGTTCGGTAGACTACGTGGGGTGCGCCAAACCGGCATCTTGACTTGCCCATCCAATTCAAAATGCCGCGCCCAGCCCGTTCTTGGACTGTCGTTTGCTGAAGCGGTTGCGCTTCACATTTACCTCCTCCAGGCTCGCTTGGCTCTTGCTAAGCTGATTGCGGCCCGATCTGTCGCTAATGCTGTAGCCCTCGGTAAAATTTGTCCTTCCTCCCATGGTGCTCTCCGGGCTCGACATGGACGATGACATGTCGCCAAATCCGTTGTCGCTGTTGTAGGGACCTGCTAGGGTTTGCGAGATAGCCAGATCCTTTGCTCTCTCCAGAGACTCGATCCAGTCGTCAACCGAGAATTTAGCCTCGCTGTTTTGCGACGCCTTGGGTTCTTCAAAAGTGTAATGCACACCGTTCTGGGGCTATGTCAGTAGCTGCCTCGTCTCCCGAGGGTGTTGGGGGTTGGAGGCATGAGAACTCACTGTGTCGACACACCACACTGCCTGTCCTTTGGCGTCTAACTGGGTCTTCCACACGCAATCAGATCCCAGCAACGAGATCTCTTGCTTGGCACGCTTCTCCTCCCCGCCAGCAGGTGCGAGCACAATCCGTCCGCCAGAGGTAATCATGACGAGTCGCTGTCTCTTCTTGGTGGTGCTACCACCAAAGAAGCGGGAGAGTTTCTTGTGCCCGTCGCCGTCGCCACGTCCATGTGGACTGTTTGGGATGGGTGATGATATTACCATCAGGTCGCCAAGCTTCAATATCCGCTCGTTGTTTCTCGTCAGGACCGGCGACCATTCGATGTCCAATTGTGTCGGCGGTGGTAGTTCCGTGATAATCCTGGGCCGGTCTTGAGCCGTTCGGCGGACCGTGGGCTCCTCTAGAATTTGGCTTCGGCGGGCTCGATCCACCGGTCCCATTGAGCTGAATGATGTGGGGCTCCTGTGCTGGAGGCACGTATGGCCGTAAGCGCGGTGCCTTCGTCCGCCACAACTCCTTCCCAAACTGCTGTCCGTCGAAAAACTCGTGGTTTTTGATGTGGTCCACGGTGAGGCGCCGGGTTGGGTCCAGCACTAAGCATCGCTCCACAAGATCACGCGCCGCCGGCGGGAAGCCTGGGGGAAAGTGGTAGTCAAGACTGACGATCTTCTGGAAGGTCAAGTACTCTGTCCCAGCTTTGAAGGGTGGTCGGCCGCCCCTGAAGTTGGTAGATGATACACCCGAACGCCCAAAGGTCTCTTTATCTGCCCACGGCTTTGTCCGTCAAGAGCTCGGGCTCACGGTGG